CTTGAGTATCAATTGAGATGCATTCTTCTTTCTCTTTTACACATATGGCCTTTTGTATGTAGTTAACTTTTTTGTTCTGAGACTTTTAGAGAGACATTTTAATATTTGAGTAGATGGGACTTGAGGTCCTCTGGTTGTTCTTTCCTGTGTCATGGTTGTTGTTTTGGATTTTTTGTCTCCTCAATTCTCTGAGTTGGAGTAATATTAAGGCTCAGTTGGGACTAGATTATGTGTGGGGTGAAGTTCATTGTTGCTTGACTGAATTGTGAATGTTTCTCAGCATCTCTACTTTGTGGTCTTGATTTGTCCCGAACACTTTCCAGATTTTCTTAGATGGAAGGGTGACTGAGAATAGCACCAATGTCAGCAACAGATGTACAGCCTTAAGATAAGTGATCAATGTCCACCTTGACATATGCAATAATAATTGTCACTGGTGTAGGATTAGTGGGGCCACCATTTAATATCAATATCAATAATAAAAAACTATGAATTAGATAAGGCATTTGACACCAGGTGTATTCTATGTTGTCCACTGTATTAATGATCGCAACAACATGAGTGGCGTAGGAATTACATAAATTTTATAATTGTATTATTTAATGTTATTACAGTTTCCTAGGTAAGAGAAAATAGTGTTGGAAGGCAAAAATATTTTGAAATATTTTAAAAAGTGATCAGAGGGTCAGGATGTAGGTAGCAGATATCAGCTATAAAAAATAAGGAATAAAAAATAACTGAAAGTAATGAAAAAAGAAAAAGAGGAAAAGGTAACAGGAAAATTTGGTTGTTACTGAGGGAAGAGAGTGAAGAAGGAGAGATAGGAGGGACAAGAACCAAGATATGAACAAACCAGAAAATGTAAGATCAAAACAACCTGAATCTTCTTATAAGTCACACCCCACCTAAGTCAAATCAAGGCTGAGTAATAAATGCAGAAGAAAGCTACTAATGTGAAGGTGAAATTATATGAATATATATACACACACGACACACACACACACACACACACATAGTATATATTCTCCAAACCTATTCATGCAGTGAGAACACACATACACACACACACACACACATTTACGTACACATACACACAAAATTATGCATAATGGAAAAAATTAAACAATAATACAAGAAATGATGCTTGAAAAAATTTTTTAAAAATTAAAACTTAAAGAAGATTAAAATAAATGGGAATACAGAGAATAAATAAATAAGGAAAGGGCTGGGGATGTAGCTCAAGTGGTAGCGCGCTCTCCTGGCATGCGTGTGGCCCAAGTTTGATCCTCAGCACCACATACAAACAAAGATGTTGTGTCTCAACGAAAAAAACAACAACTAAAAAAATTAAAATTAAAATTCTCTCTCTCTCTCTTTAAAAAAATAAATAAGGAAAAAGAGAAAAAGAGAAAAAAAATCTTAATGAGAAATAGAGGGCTTGTTTCTGCTATAGTGATCAGACTGTTGGCAGGGATGGATTTCCATTCTTTCTATTTATTTTTGGCTCTGCAATCCTTGGGTCAAAGGCTGGGGATTGTTAAGTTCAGTGTCTTTGTGTTCCTCATACTTGCTGGCCAGGTGGTGTAGCTCTCAGGTTTTAGTCTCCTAGTATAGGGTGGGATAGACTGGGGAGGGCTTATGAATTGTGTAATCCTGTGTGTGGGGTGGTGGTGGTGGAGGTAACACAGAGTTCAAATTGGAAGTTCCAGTAGTTGGGATTTAGTCTTGGGTGAATTTTGGAACTCTGTTGGTAGGTATTTGAGATTTGATCCATGCCCTCTGTTACTGGGGAGCTTTCAGGACATCGGGATCTCTGGGGCCTCTGGTAAAATCCATTTTTAGGATATAGGGACTACATCTTCACATGATTCATCTTTACCACTATGAATGTGAATTACCAGGTATTCGCCCAAGACTTCAGATGCTCCTGCGTGGTCACGATCAGTGTCTTTCCAGTAGTTCTCATGGGGTCCTAGCAACAAAGATTTTCTTTGTGTCTATTTCAGTATCTCTGGTTCAGGCACACACTGCAGGTCATAATATGTGACTGCTGGGTACTTCCTTTATACATCCTGATTTGTCTCTCCTCACTGCTGTGCAGTGTTAATAGATAGTTTCCAGGCTGCCACTCTGGTCATTTTCTGAGCCAGCAATGTCAGTTACCACTGAGCTGTCTGCCCTTGAGGCTCAAGCAATTTGGGGTTTGTTTTAATGAACTACTTTCCCCACCGACTCTTTGTTCATTAAGATCAATGTCTCTCACTAATCCACAGGTTCTCCCAAGCCAAAATCTTTAAAATTTAATTTATTTTTGTTGTTATTATTCACCACACTGTCTTGGCTTTCTACCTGCTGTCCCCTCTCCCCTCAGCGGCTGCTGTTGCAGTTCCTGCCACGGCCAGCCACACTGGCACATCTCTAACACTACGTATTATATTCTGTTTGAGGTTTCTGATTTTCTGTATCTGTATAGTTTCTTTTTGCAGTCCAGTATTCAATTTCAGTGAGTTCAATTTATTACCCACCTGCCTGGGGAGCAATCGTCCTGCTTTGTAAGTCTGGTGCTGAGGAACTGCTAGGAAGTGCATCCTTCCTCTAATCCACTGTCTTCTTATTTGATGGGCATTTAAAATCCAAGCTATAGCTTAGGAAAAGTCAAAGAGAAAAGTAGAGCTGGTGGCTTGATGGATTGCAGTAAAAACATCTTACTTTCCACATCTCACCAGACCCTGTGAGCACATTGCCAGGACCCCTCGCAGGAAAGGACCTTCCCAAGTAAGGGCCCTGAATCAATAGATTTAGAATCCATTCACATGGATGCAAAGAGCTTTGCAAAGCTTCATGAGATTCATGACAAATCTCTGCCTGGAAGAAAGTTGTTGTTTTGCAAAGATGTATCAAAACAAACAAATACTCAAGCCAGCAAGCAAACAGCAACAACTGCTGTGGATGAACTATTTGAAATAGTAAACTAATGCTTTGAAACAACACGATATTACAGAAGCACCTGGAATATTTGTACTGTAACCACAGGGGCTTAAGAAAGGTTTTATGTTTGTGCTGAAAATTCTGATATTGAAATTTTACATCATCTTGTTCACAGAGCATCTTGCTCCTGACAAAGTTTGCCTGCAGATGTGAATTTCCCATTAAATGATGTTATCAGAGTGGCGATAAATACACATAAAGTCCTAACCCATTTCAGTCATGGCTGTTTTCAGCTTTATGCCAAGAAATAGGATGGATATTCCACTTTCCGTTTAATACCTTAGAGCATTGTCACCCAAAAGGAGGATTTCATTGAGTTTATAAACTGAAAGAAGTGTGTGTGTGTGTGTGTGTGTGTGTGTTTATGAATTATTCCCCTTTTTCAGATTTATTAAACAGTAGTTATTAGATTAAAAAGAGTGACTTGGTTATCTAAAAAATTTTAATATCTGAATGAATGAAGTTGAAATAAAATGTTGGGACTGTGGGAAAGCATATCAATGTGTACTGACAAAATGCATGGATTATGAGAAAATGTTCAACTTTGAAAGTGGGCATAAAATGACGGATTGAGTACTAAGGAAGAATTTTGAAGACCAGTAGAGCAATATGAATGAATACTTGAGAAAATGCATTATTTAAAGAACTTTTATATCAACAGATTCAGAATCTACTAACATTGTAATAAGGAGGCTCAGAGCTACATTTATCAATGAAAGTAAAGAATATTTAGAGAATGATTAAATTATCTGAAATTAGGTCAATGATGAAAAGGAGTTTCTCAGAGGAAAGGCAATAAGCAGTTATCTGCTTCTCATTAATATCTGACTTGTATGGATAGAATTCTTACAAATGGTGTCTGTGGGGACTTAGAGGAGATCAGCCATCAGGAAGATCAGGAGTTTTAGGGGGTTCTTTAAAACATAAACCTGTTTTTATAAAATTATCTTTATAGAGAAAGCTCAAGGTTCTTAATTGAAACATACATAATATTTAGGATAGATATTTATTTGGAAGTTATATATCAATTCATATTTAATATCATCTGTATTTCTTTGTTCTTGTTCAAAATTATATATTGCAAAAAGTTATGACTTTATTTATAAAGCTCCATGTTAATAACCCCAGGTAGTAATACTCACCAATTTAGTCCAGTGAGCTCTACGAATATTATTGTTTTGCATGTGGGTCTAGAAGATATAATGTAGGGAAGGATTTCTTGGTGGTACGACCTCAATTCCTGTTGCATCTTGAGGACTCTTTCTCTCTTTCCTCATTTTTAGGATAGAGATAAAGTTCATTCTGTAGCTGTGAAGACAAGAAGTTAAGATTTATGAAACTTAGATTAGAACCTGGCACATAATAGCAAGAAATATTAGAACACATACAAGTGTTTTTGTCTTGCCAATGCCTGACTAGCTAAGATTTTATCTGCAACTTCTTGGAGTTGGTACAATAAAAAGAACAGGAATCAGATTTAATGGTATTTTCATATTGCACATAGAAATATGGGGGCCAAGTACGGACCAGACCCATTTCATATTCTTTCTATCCAGCACATCCCTTGGCACATTGAAATTGCCTGATAAATGTTTTATGAATGAAGGAAAAATAAAAATAGGATTTTCTTTTCTTTGGTACCAGGGATTGAACTCAGGGGTACTCGATTATTGAGCCATATCCCAGCCGTATTTTGTATTTTATTTAAAGACAGGGTCTCTCTGAATTGCTCAGCACCTTGCTTTTGCTGAGGCTGACTTTGAGCTCATGATACTCCTGTCTCAGCCTCCTGAGCTGCTGGGATTACAGGTGTGCGCCACCATGCCTGGCAAGAAGGATTTTCTTTGGTCTAAGAAAAATAAGTTGGGTCAATATCTGCCATATACCTCTGGATACCTAGTATGCTGATGCTGAGCTGAGGGACAGAGTGTGCTATTATTCACCGGACACTTGTATTTCAGAGAACAGGCAGGGATGGTCAGCATACTAAAGTGTGTGTTTGTTTCTTTTAGAGGAAAAAGTTCACCATCACCAGCAGTGTCACTGGGAAAAAGCACACATTTGTCACTGATTCAGCCAAGACATGTAAATATTTACTGGGCCTCTGTTCTGCCCAGCATGGGTTTAATGCGCAGATGGGCTCTGGGCAGACTCTCCATCTTTCAGCTGGTGAGTAGATGCTATATTCTCAATGGACACTTTGACAAGTTTGTTGTTTTGTAAATAATTTGTATGAACTGATACAATTGACTGGAAGCTTCTATAAAGACTTCAATCTCCTCAGTAAGGACAGAAATACAATAAAAATGAAGTATATTTTTTTTCTCAGATTGGCAAACACTAAAATAAATAACACTGGGAGGGTAAATTGATACAACTTTCCTAGTGTACAATTGGAAGTATATATCCAAAGTCTTTAAAAAAAAAAACCATGTCCTTTTGGCCCCATAATTTTACTTGTAGACAGATATTTATTTTACAGTAATAAATACAGAAAAATGCAAAAGTTGATGTTCATGGGTGTTCACTGGAACATTATTTATAGCAGTGAACATTTGGAAGCAACCTAAATTTCCCAGAATAGAAGACTAGTTAAAAAAAAATCATAGCACATCTCTATAGTTCAGACAGTTAAAGTATTTTTTTTTTTTTTTGGAGAAGGATGATTTGTGAGACTGTATATGCTATAGAGCTAAGTGGGTGACAGCAAGATATGGGACTATATCTAGTACCATCCAATGGAAGTTTCTTTGATGATAGAAATATCTGTAGCCTTCAGTATGGGAGTCATCAGTATATGTACCTATTGAGCATTTGAAAGGTGGTAAAAACAAATGAAGGATTAAATCTTTAATTTCTGTTTTAGTGATTTATATTTAAATTTGAATGGCTACATGTGCCCATTTATTAAAAAGCGTAGCCATACTCAGGTGGTTAATAATTCCATGTTACAAAACAAGAAAATAGAATATAGAAATGAACACCACCACAATATCACTTGTTATTACCTTTGTGAGTTATGTATGCAAGCATGATTATTTTCTTTATATTTTTCACTATTTGTTAAACTTCCAGCATGAGCATATATTACTGATAAAGTTAAGAAAAAGTCAATTGATTAAAATGTGGCCACACATCATGTAAGATCAGTTAACAATTATTGAGCACGTAGGAAATTCTATGGAGCTGTTTATTACCGTTGTTCCTACTTTTTCCTGACATTATGATAATCCTTACATGCAAGATCTAATTTATGCTCCAAATACACTTTTTTCACACTGTAATTGTCAAACAGCCCTGTGAAGCAGGAACCAACATTATTGGAAGAGGCAAACTGGGGCTGGAGTAGTAAGAACTGTGACGGGTGTTTGTTGGTGGGGCTGAGACTTGAACCTGTGGCTCTTGGGGTCCAGTGCCCATCTACTTCACCTCCTGAAAAGTGATATTTCATAACTTGCCTGAGTGTAAACTTTAGGGCCAGAGAGACTTGCTTTTGAGTGCTTGCTTTATCACAGTGTCTGTTGATCTCTAAGCATTATTTCTTCTTCTGCTATAAAAGAGAACAATAAAATACAGTGATTCACACTCTACATATTCAGATTGTAGTCTTTGGGCCCTTCAGTATGCACATTACCTTGGAAGTTCACGATGGATGCAGAATCACAGGTCCCACTCCAGGCCTACTAATCAGAATTTGTATTTAAAAAGATCCCAGGTGATTTGAATACACATAAAAGTTAGAAAAACACCGGCTAGGAAAATGGCTGGGTGACTTTGGCCAGCTCACCTCCCCTCTCTGAGCTTTAATGCCCTCATTCAAACATACTGATTGTCTCATAGGCTTGTGCTGTACTCCAGCACGACAGTGCATGTAACATTTCTAGCTTGATGTCTGGAGTGTGAAATAGGACAGTGTCTCTTGAGTATGAGGATTTGACTCAGTGCTAATGCATGTAAGAGCTGTGTCACAAGTTCTAAGGACTAGCCCAGGAGTTAGGTTAATAATGGGAAACAAAATTGCCAAGCTTAGAGATGAAGATGCAAACACAGAAAATAAAGGTAGCATATTATTTGCAGCAGAGCCAAATGAAGATATAAACATTTCATTGGAACTGCAGGCTGTTGGTCCCAGGTTATTTCCAGGGAGCTAGAGATGATAAATGCAAATTAATTATATCTGATTTACCTGGTGTTGCTGAGATACCGTGTGTGAAACACCATCAATATTGCTTTTATTGCTTGATTTCAGTGACCATAAAATATTTATAAAGACTTCATGAGCTTACTTGTGAAATTAGTCCTTCTAGGCCTATTTTGCTCATAATAAACTGTTTTCTCAAACTGCAAATTCTACCACCTTAAGAGTTTTCAGAAATCTAATGCACATTTACACTAAAAGGATTCATTTTGACAATTCTCCTTGCCTTTTAAAAACTTCATTTGAGAAACTCTCCGTGGACACCATTTTCAGTGATTGCATGCAGCAAAGAGCTGGTCATCTCCATCTGTCCTCAAGCTCTGCATCTCCAGCTGATCTCTTCCTCCTGTGTAACTCTAGGAGTTCTGCCATGACCTTTGCTTTGTTCAAAGGGGACCACCCATTCACCCAGCAGGAACTGGGAGTCTGGACCTGGACCTTCTCTTCCTGCCCCACATGCCACCAAATGCTCTCAGATGAGCTTCCTGCTGAGATTTATATCCCCTGCCACTGTCCAAAGTCATTTTCAAAGTGATCATTCCAAAGGACCCATCCAATCATGTTCTTCCATGCTGAAAACTGTCAATGACACTCTGCTGTCTGTTTGTACCTAACCTCCTTAGGATGACCTGTTGGATTCTTCCAACTCTTGCCCCAACCCTGACTTATTTCCTGTCTGGTTACCTCCCCTCTCCTCTCTGGCTATGCTGCCTACTTCCTTGCTGGCTGTGGAACACACCAGCGTATCTCGGGTTCCAGGGTCTTGGTGCCAGTGGCCTCTACCATTGATGCTGTTCCTAACCTCTTTGTGGCTCACACCACCAAAATAAGCCTGATATTCCATGAACATATTGAAGGACAGCCTCCCCCTTGAACAGACTTTCCTTTTTTGGCTGCCCCCAGTCAACTCCTTCTCGGGTGGAGTGGAGTAGACTGCTCCTTCTTTGTGCAGATCTCTTTGTGTTTTTTCACTCTTATTTGTGCATGTATGCCTCTAATCTGTGGTAGACTGGGAATTCCTTGAAGGCAGGGACAGTATCCTGCAGTCTTTCTAGCTCTGTTATGGAACAGAGAGGTATGTCAAAATGGCAAGTGGTTAATACATGTTTGAATGGATGGATGAATGGAAATACTATTTGTATGGAAATACTATTCCTTAATCATCTCCCTCTTTTCATGCTTAGTTTGCATTTCATTTTTCAATACTACTAATAATATTGTGATAAACATCATTGGAGAAAATTCTTTTCTTGATTTTCTTATTTCTCAAAAATGTATTTGAGTACAAGAGCCAGGGCATTTTAAAAACCATGGATGTTTTCCTGAGTGTTTTGCCTTCTTGTCATCCTGCCTGTTTCATTGCATTCTTGCTGGAATAGTTGTCATCGTGTTTATTTTTGTTCATTTGACAGGTAAAAACGATTTTTCACTGTTGCTTTATTTTGTATTTCTTTTATTGTTGAGAAGCTGAACACTTACCAAATGTTTCTTCTGTGAATTGTCTCAACAAGCATATTACTTTATAGTTATTTTTGGTTCCCTGGGGAGAAATAATCACTGAGCTTTTACAAATGGGTATTTCAGGACAAGTAAGTATTTCAGCACTGCAGAGTGGCCCCATCGTCTTTCTAATGGGTGGTCCAGTGCTTCAGGATACTCCTGGCCCTTCCAGGAAACTGTGGCTGCAAGACTGCAAATTTGCAGTGGGCTGCTTGGGATCTCATCCCAGTTTCCTTTTCTTTGTGGGTATCTCCTGTGTGCTTGGAACTCCAGCCAACTTGGGCTTCAGTCCTTGATGTCCAGACAGATTCGATATTTGTCAGATATTTCCCAGATGCCACAGTTATGCTGTGAGTCACCCATGACCAGGGAACAGAAGCTGTTCATTCTCCTCAGTGTGCCAGTGGCTTTGGGACATTATTGGCAATCCTTCCTTCTGTTCCTGAAAGATCGTCAACCCTTGGATCTCTGACCTACTGACACATCCCTCCTGCACTGTAGTCTACCCAGTCGAACCTCATGAGGCCAAGGCCTAAGGATGAGGCCAGCACTCAGCACCAGTCATCAGGCCCACAGCCTCGGTCTGAGTCTGTGAAGCTGAATATCTTGCATCTGTGATGTCATTTCCTGACCTCACTGTGGGCCCTTCATCTGTTCACTGAGCTCCCTCCTCAGCCTCCTGACTCCCCCTCCAGCTTCTGGAAGGGAGCACAGCTCTTCCTGAATCCCAGGCACTTGGGACTCTCACTTCTCTGCTCCGCTTCTATGAGTTTCTTCCCTAAGGCACAGCTCCTTTCTGTAGCCCCAATCCCTCCACAGTCTTGCTTCAAACCAGCCAAACCTCTATGAGCTGAGGCCCTGAATCTAGTGTCTCTTCCTAAAGTATCCTAGAATATTAAGGGGGTGTTAATATCTACGAGAATTAAGTCCAATGTCACTGTCTCTTCTGGCCCTGGTGATCAGAAGGCTGCGCAAGCCTCAGGTGAATCTCTTGTGCTGCTGTTTTGGTCTTTGTGTCAGGTTCTCCCATACTCCAGTGTGGAAACATACATTCAAAGACACCTCCCACACACATTCACTACACACACACACACACACACACAGACACCCCCATATATATGCTGGCCATTCACTCACATACATAGATACCACAAACACACATTTATCATACACACATATACTGGCACCACACAGCACACTTACCATATGCACACATACTTAGACATACACACATACAAGAAAAAGTGGTGCCCATAACAAAGCAATGTGTGCACTGGCCTTCCTTCCAGGTTTTAGCAGGGAGCAGATAGTCTGGAGATGGTCATCATTTTTCTTTCTCAAAATACAAATTCACTTTGGGTAAAGCCTCATTAACTTAAGAGACTATTGATCAAATCCCCATTTTTTTTTTTTTTTTTTTGTGAACAATATAAATAGTGAAATTTCTTACACCTGGGACTTGACCAGAGTCACCTATTAATCCTTTCTGCACAAAGGAAGGAAGGGAAGCAACAAATCTAGGAGTCCAACACATTGGTGCTATATTGGTGTTATTTATATTCTAGGAAACAGGATCTTACATGAACTATTATTACCAGGGAAAACTAAGCTGTGTTGAGATTAAAGATTGTGTGCCACAGGGCAAAGCCTAATTTTGGGAGCTTGGATGATTCAAAGTCCCATTTGTTATGAGAACGACTGTGAGGACAGATCTGCAAAGGCGGAAAGCAGAACTGGGTGCTAGAAGCTAATTTTATCTAAGGCCCTGCTGGAGCCTGACATTCCCAGGAATGCTTTGGGTGAGCACCCATAAGAACAGGCTCTTGGGCTCCCAGTTCTATCAGCTACCAGGGAGGGAGCCTCTGGTTTTTTCTTTCTTAGGTTTCTAAAATGTCCTTCATTAGCAAGTGCTAATTAGGAAGACTTGCAGTCCCAAGCCTAATCACAAGAATTCCCTGAGTTAGCATGAGGCAAAAAAGCAGGCCTCTCAGTGCAGAAAAAGAACTGGGAGAGAAGAGCCTGAGCCTGGGAGTGTTTTGCCACTCCAAGAGCAATGGGACCAGTATCATGTTGAGTGTAAAGTATATTTATCTTTTTCTCCTCCAATTCAGATCGGGATAAGTTTGTGCAAATGGCAAATTCAAGCCCTGCCCAGCAGGCCCAGTCCAAGCCTCTTACATGGATTCAGAGATTGTCATGCTCAGAAAATCAGTTGTTCATACCGAGGTTGCAGGACACCATAGGCGGCCTGCTGAGTGCGTCACTGGAGAACTTCAACTTGGAAACCAATAAGGAGACTGGTACAGAAGGAATCAGAGACAGGTGGGTTTCCTCTGTCCTCTGAGCCCAAACTACCAGGTATTGGTGTGCTGGAGCCATCTATACCTAAAGCCAGTTGTTTAAAGGATGATAGATGCCTAAGGAAAAGTATATATTCACTGTCAATTAATTCCTTGGCTTAGTTGTGGGGTTATGCTTTTCTTATGGCTTAGTCTAAGCTAAATACTGTAGGGCAAAATTTTACTCCCCTACCATGATGCTCATACCTTTTGGTAGAGAAAGAGGACAGAATTAAAAAAAAAATACAGTAATTTTGGCCTTATCATAAGCTAGGTAGTGTTCTAGGTACTTGTACATATCAACTAATTTAACCTGTAGAACCATGTGGAATATTTTTATCATCCTTCTCATTTACAGGAGGGGAAACAGAGGGGCTAGAACTCAAAGAAATACCGCTGGACCCAGAGACTATATTTCTGATTTTGACACTATTCTACCTTCCCCGTTGATGACATTTAAATTTTTATGTGAAAACAGTGAGATGATGCATGTAACTTTCCATTATAAAACAATGATCCATACATTTAAAAATAGCCTAGAACTTGGATGACACTTACATTGCAAGTTATATAAATAGCCCAGATTCCCCAGGCAGCACACGACTAACGAGGATTGCTATAGGAGCTGTTTTGAGGAATGAGTTATACATCTGCTTCAGCATGAGTGTATGGATGATTCATTTGAACTGAAATTCATGTATATATGTATACATCTTGAAGTAATTCTTAGAAAATTATTGCCCAAATTCTATAGATGCAAATGTGCACTGCAAACATAATCAATAACGGGGAAGCAAAACTGTTCTGTGTATCTATTGCTGTGCAACAAACCACCCCAAAATGCAGTGGTGTAAAACAATCACCATTTTGTTATCCCATTTCATAATTTTCTAGGTTAGAAAATCAGGCAGAGCTGTGTTGGGGAATTCTTCTGCTTCTTGTGATATTGACCAGGATCATGACTGGACTGGTCTGGGGGGGTCCAAGATGCATGCAAGGAAATGCATGTGCACAGCCCTTGGTGTGAGTGGCTGGGGCTGGGATACATTGCTAACTGGGTCCCTCTCCCTTCTTATGCAATCTCAAGCCCTCTCCATATGGTGTCTCCAGCAAGATTCTACATGGTAGCTCAGGGCTTCAAGAGCCCAGGGAGAGATTGCCATTCTTTATAAACTCTAGCCTCGAGTTAACATGGCATCTTTTCCACCATATTCTTGGTTAAATTAGTCCTAGGTCAGCACAGAGTTGAAGAGAACAAAAATAAACTCTACCTCTTGATGTGACCATCAAAGGGTTTGGGGCCATTTTTTTTTCATCTGTCACTCAGACTAATGGCATTTTATAGCATTTTATTCTTTAAAAGGTAGAAGCAGCCACGATTGGCTTAAGACCACTGTTAGTTTTCTGTCACTGCAACAAAATCCCTGAGACAATCAGCTTTAAAAGAAGAAAGTTTATTTTGACTCACAGTAAGTTTCAGTCCATGATTAGTTGGCCTCATTGTCTTCAGGCCTGTGGCAAGGCAGCACATCATGGTAGGACTACATGGTAGAGGAATCTACTCTCCTCATGGTGGCTCAGAAGGAAAGAGGAAGTTGAAAGAGCTGAAGTCTCTATATTTCCTTTTAAGGTACAATGATCTAAGGATCTTCCACCAGGCTCTACCTCTTAAATGTTTCCCTACTTCCTAATAGTGCCATGGGTAACACCTTTAATATGTGGAACTTTGGAAAGTGCTTTTCCCAACCTAGCAGCCACATTGAACAATGTATTAACAGCAAAGTAAGCTTCCTGGGGATGATGGTGCTTCCAGTGACCTGTCAATCATCCCTCATGGTAGGGGTTTTGCAGCATCATATGGCAGTTGGCTTTTCCAATAGGAAGCTGTATTGGAGTCCTCAGTAAACTCTAGATACTGCTGTAAAGTATGTTTGTGTCTCTCAGTTTACTAACACAAAAATTTTACCACTCTTAATAGCTCTCTAGTAACCTGTAGGGAAAAAAAGGAAACCAAAGACTTGTTTTAAGTCCTAGGCCATCTGGAAGATCCAAAAGAAGCACAACCTAAGCCCATGACTTGGTGCAGGTGGGTTTTTAAAGATGTGAGGCCAGGTGTGAGCAGAAGCATGAGCTAGGGAAGGAAGAAAAGCCTGTACAGGATGGGGTCATCAAAGTAACGTTGAGGGCAACCAAGGCTCAATTCCTCAGCAAAGTGTCCTGAAGATCTCCCTTAATTGCCAAAAAACAGAAGGGTGGATGCCTGTGTGCCTGCCCCCATTCCTCTCTGGTTGAAGGTCATCTGTGGGACTTGGCTCCCCCATACTTTTGGGTAAAGAGGGAGTGGGAGGATGAAGAGAAAGCTCCCAAGATGTGTAAGAAGTTCAAGGGCAGAAAGAGAACTGCATCTGAGGTGGGATTTTGTCAGCACGAACTGAGCCTGACCACTCATGGGCCTTCCATCACAGCTATGGTCAAAGTCTGAGGTGGGCCAAGAGTGTGACTGTGGCCATGGGTCACTGTCAATCTTGGTGACTGGAGGAGATGCTTAGTATTTCTGCTTACCGCAAAGATGACTCAGCTGGAGGTTCCCTTCAGACCACATTGTGGATCTATCCCAGCCTTAAGAGAGTTGGTTACCAATGCCTATCCAGCTGTCTAGTTCTCTGTGATCCTGAGAAAGTTATTTAACATGTTGTGCCATTCATCCAGTGGTATGAACAGTAAAGCCATGCCCACAGGGTGGCTGCAGGAATTAAACTGTTATAAATGTTGAACACGGGCTGAGTCCACAGTGAGGGTCCCAATGCTGGTACCCTTTCCATGGTCTCTACGGGACATGATAGAAGCACATGAGGACAGAATGGATTAAACATTCAAGGCAGGCATAGGTAGCATTGTGGCTCCCTTGCAGGTGAGGACTGGGGAGGTTTTCATGGGAGAGGTGACATTAAGTCTTGTTTGACGAGTAGAATTTGGGCTGGGTGAGAGAGAAGGGAGAAACACCGTGGGTAAATATTCATTCATTTTGGTTGGTAAATTATATAAACACCTATTGTGTGCCAGCCCTGGGCCAGGTGCTGAGCTTTCGGCCACCTACTGCCTGTCACTGCTTCTCCCAAGCCTTTCCCAACTTCCCTTGCATAGGGATGGTACCTGCACACCACTGGGTCCATTTACGGAAACCCCCCTTTTCCCTTTCACCCTGACATTCACATGCTTTCATCCATCTCCCTGTCAATCACTCAAACTCAAGAAAAGTGACATATCAAGTGCAGTCTCAGCTCTAAGGTCAGAATGTGAAGGCTTTCAGTAAATTTTTTTTAAAGGTTTACATTAAAAAAACCCCTTTATTTGTGGTAAAAATAGACAAACCATAAAAGATATCATCATAACCACTTTTTAAAGTCACAGTTTGCAATGACATTCAGTTCATTCACATTGCTGTACAATCATCACCACCCATCATCCACCAGATCTTCATCTTCCCAAACTGAAACTCTGTCCCCATCCAACACTGACTCCCCATTCCTTGCTTGCCCAAGTCCATGGCAACCAGCACTCTGCTTTCTGTCTGATTTTGGCTACTCTAAGCACCTTATAAACCAGACAGGCTCGTATAATATCTGTCCCTTTGTGGCTGTCAGTAAATGACTTTTAAAGTGGAGGGCAGCATGTGTGGCCCAGGTCACGTGAGCTATAAAAACTTGGGGGCACATAAGCCCTTTCTTTTCCTCAAAGGCCATCCTCAAAGGCCATTTCATTTTCATATCCTTATCAGCTGCTCCCAGACGGCTGGGATTTCTCCTTCCTTTGAACAAATGAACACTCTGCTAACACCTCTCCTTGGGGTACTTGGTAGACTTGGAAGTTATCTAGACCCAGAGGTTAGGACATATGTGGTTCACCCTTTCACCCTGCATGCCTTACCAGCCCAGGCATGATCCTCAGTGAGTTCTCAATCAATTTGGGTTGAATTTGCTGCAATGCACAACATAAGAGCAAAGAAAAAGAATGAGGCTCATTCCGACCTTACAAAGAGCTGACTGTGCTGCCCTTCCCTTTCTACTACGTTCCTCTCCTCTGTCAATCCTGTTCTTTCTGTGAATACTGCCAACCAAGGCAGCATCCCTTGCTATGGTCCAACTGCCTAAGCTGTGGTGTGGCCTCTCTGGTGTTGGGGACAGTCTGCTCATGTGCTTGTCCATCCTGGAGACCCAATAATAACTTTTTTGCAAGGCCCTAGGCACCCATAGCTTTGTGTCTATTCTTCTTGCTCTCTACTCTGCTTATCTCTGAATATAGCTTATCTCTTTGGAGAGCTGAACTTGGGGATAGGGCAGGGTCCCCTTGATTCAAGCATGCTCCTAGTGCTTAGAACATGCTTCCCTTACTAGAATTTTGTGTATATTGTCTATTTTTGGTTGTTGTAACAAAATAATGCAAGCTGGGTACCTAATTAAAAACAGAAGTTTAATTAGCTCAGTTTTGAAGGGTGAAAGTCCAAACAGCATGGCACTGGCTCTGGTTAGACCCCCTACTGTCTGCACTATCTCATGGCAGGTGGCATCATGGTGGGAATGCATGTAAGAGGGAGACCTGAGGGTGAGACAAGAACGAGGGGAGGGGCCAGTCTTGCTCTTTTATACCAACCCAGTCTCCAAGAACTATTTAATCTCTTCTGAGGTCAGTGTCTCATTAACTTAAGCAACTCCCATTAGGCTCCACCTCATAAATAATCAACTAACTCCCAGCATCATACTGAAGACCAAGCATCCAGCACATGAACTCCTAGGGCACAAACCACATTTAAACCATTGTACTGCACATTCAGCTAAGGCCACTGAAAACATGCACAAAAGTTTTCTGATCTCAATAAGTGCGATTGGGAGTGGAGCATCCATCTCAAACACCTGTAAAGATCACCAATTTTTTAGTACTCAGGGAGGCACAGCCTATGTGGGGTACTAGAGCATGATTGGCCCCACTAAGAGCCTTCAGCTAAAAAAAAAAAAAAGCAAACAATAGAACATCAGGACCCATCGAGTGTCATGCCTTATACTACTATATGGTTTTGGTGCCATCACAAACCTGGGAAATAGAAGATTATCCCTATTTTATGGTTGAAGAAATGGAGGCCTTTAACATATCCAACCCAAAGGTGGATAGTGGGACGTTCATGTGAGATCTAGGTGACTGCAGTTAACCCTTTGGGACAGAAAGATTCTACCACCATTCTTTTGGTGTAGCCTTGATAATCAGATTTGATAACATTCCTTCCTCTTTGGAGAATGTGTCTGGAACTGCTGGATGGTCAGGCAAAAGTCAGCCTTCTCCAGATCACTGTTCATATTAGAACTGCCTAAGAAGTTGCCTTATCTTACTTACATTGTAACCTTTCTCTGCAGCCCTTGCCCTGGCCAGGAGCAGCTGAATAGCACCTGTTTGATCCAGAAGTCAATGACCTGTGGCCCACTTTCTGGACTGCCTTTTCAGACTATAAACACAGGTATGGGCCAGGCCATGGTTTTGGTAAAGGAAACCTTAGATACAATGTTTGATTTTTGACCTTCTGCCACCACTGCAGTTTGTTTCCCAAAGTTTGTAACCTTTTTACTTTTAAAATGATTCTAAAATTTTCTTATGGTTGGGAAGAGCTCTCCCAATCAACATTTGGCTTTGGCTGGGTATGTGGATCTGTAATGCATTAGCTGTGGTGAATTGGTTTCCAGCCCTTTGGTTCAGCAGAGGGAATATCTACTATGGAGTGGTATGTTTAGAAAAATGCACCATCCATTTTAGTTATGCTGCTTCTTCAAGGCCCAGCATATCACTCAGTGTTCCCCAGAAAACATGCACAGGGAAGATAGCAGTTTCCTCCTGGCAAGCCCCCAGTTGAAGGCAAAGACAAAGAGACTTCATAACTAAGGAAAATATCTATATTTGATGAGCACCAAGCCTGAGGGCTGGATCTGGAATACCACCAAGCAACTCTCTAAATTGAGTGTCTGCCAATTTCCATCATGTTTCCAGAGGGAGGAAGAGATGTGGAATGATGACAGTGGTGCGTCACCAGTGGGGAATTTTCCCAAGTGCATTGTGACAAGATTTGGAGAATCTAATCCCAGAACTCTGGGAGCAACTGTAGGGCTGTACTTTGGATTGCCTTTAAGGCCCAAACTGGGAAAGTACTCCAAAGTACCCAGACTGGGCCGATAGCTCCTGTTACCCTCCGACTGTTGGAAGCCTGTGTAAGTCAGCTTTCCATTACTGTAACAAATAACCCAAGATAAATAAACTTAACAAGAAGAAAGTTTATTTGGTTCATGGTTTCAGACGTTTCAGTTCATGGTTGCTTGGCTCTGTTGCTTTGAGCTTGTGGTGGCCCATGGCAAGAAGACAGGGTAGAAAAGGCCTATTCACTTTATGGTGGCTAGGAAGCAAAGAAAGAGAGGGAAGAAGGAGCTAGGGTCCCAAATCCCTTCAAGAGCACACTACCAGTGACCTAACCTCCACCCTCTAGGACCTACCTTTTATAGATTCTCCCGCCTTCCAGTAGCACCACAAGCTAGTGAGCAAGCCTTTAACGCATAAAGTTCCTGGTCCTCTTCCATCTTGTCTCAAGGCCAAAAAACTATCAAAAGTCAGACAGAAAAGAGGCACCACAGCCCAGTCTACCTGGCCTGTGCTCTTACAGCCCAAGTTTGACCCAAATTGACCCAGTGAGGCTCATTGGAAGAAAATCCTCAGTGATTGGTTCTGAGTTTTGCTAGGAAATTAAATGTGGGCTATCTTTGCTCTCAGTGTGTGTGTGTGTGTGTGTGTGTGTGTGTGTGTGTGTGTGTGAGAGAGAGAGAGAGAGAGAGAGAGAGAGAGAGAGAGAAAGAGAGAGAGAGAGAGATTGTTCCCTCCTTTTATATTGGGTTCCAAATAATTTGGGGGTAAAAGCACAATATGGTGTTTTGATTACACTCCTAGGGTTCCAGAATAACAGAAGAAAGAGTGTCAGTGCTGAACCTGGTCGAGAAATCGTGCATGTGACACTGAAGCGTGACCGCCATCTTGGTTTTGGTAAGAGGGCTCCCTCCAGGTGAGACCCACTCTCTTCTTTCTGGCAGAGAGAGATGTGCGTGTGGTTTTTCCCTTTGGACTTTCTACTCCCTTTTCTTTCCCCTCTTCTCCCAATTTGCCTTTTTGGGGTAGTCTCTTCTGCTTTTCCCTCCCTTGAAGTACCCCTAAGGAACAGAGGGACTTTTGTGTCAAAAATTTCCCTGTAGGCCCTGATACATTTTGGGGATGGGTCTAAGCACAAGGTAGGAAAGTATTTCCCCCTAATACCGTGTAACCACATTTCTCTAGCATAAGTGGATTCTTCGCGATAGGGAGTAATAGCCAGTCTTTCTCTCATCATTGATCACTTTTGAAGACCCTTCAGATCATTTAAAAACAAGATACTGAAACAGAGTACTTGACTAAAAATCATCTCTTTCCTATCTCTGATTATCTTCTGGAGTAAAATCCAGCACACATTTTGAGCTGCATTTCTAGCTTTAGTTGTGATTGCTAAAGGGAATAACTCTTCCCTGTGTATTGCACCCAGATCCAAATATTAGTTATGCCACCTGGTAGCTGTGTGAGCTCAAGCAAATAACTTAACCTCTCTGAGCTATGAAGTCATTAAATATCATCTTATTAAATGCTATTTTGGATTATAGGTTTTGTCATTAATGAGGGTGAAGACAGAGGCCAATCTAACCCTGGCATTTTTATATCTTCTATTATTCCTGGAGGACCAGCAGAAAAAGCGAAAACAATTAAACCAGGTACATATTCTTATTAACTGCCAGAGATGCTGTTTTAAGGAATCACTCTTTCTTATTTCCATGATGGGTTATTGAGTATGTTTTATTTTTTTCAGGAGGGCAGATATTAGCCTTGAATCACATTAGCCTGGAGGGCTTCACATTTAACATGGCTGTTAGAATGATTCAGAATTCTCCTGACAACATAGAATTAGTCATTTCTCAATCAAAAGGTATGTCTTCACCTACTTCCAGAAACTGAAGAGACTTTTATTTTCAGGTGATCACTATTACCATGGGCAACTTGCTAAGTTCTGCATAGGTAGGTATTTTGTATTGGTTTCCTTGTGGAAATGGCTTGCATAGAGGCCATGTAGTGGCACAAATCAATAAGCTCTGCACTTTCAGGGGCAGAGTGGGCTTTGCCATTGCTTATCTTGCTGTAAGGCAGAAACTTGCTCTCTTTATTAGGCCTAGCTGAATACACCCACTGTGTGCTTTTCTGCCCAGTCTCCTTACATGACATGGAGGATATTATTGTTGTCACTCAAGTCCTTGTTGAAAGTGGCTGTTCTACATAGTTTGGGCTTAGCTCTATCAATCACCTGCACAGCTGGGAAGGAGACTGCAACTGATCTGGAAGCTGAATTTGCATAGCAAGCATGTGGTTCTTACTTGTGGGTGTGTGACAGATCAACCCAAAGAGTCAAGTTTTTGTTTTTTAAAGAATTTTTCCATCCTTTAGATAAGAATGAGAGAGCAACTGATTAGATCAAAGAACGATATGATAATATTTATTTGGGGCAGGTTTAGGGGCTGGATGGAGGTAACAGGGAGGCTAACATCCTCCCCATCCTAGTTTCCTAGGACCATGGATGCTTTTCTGGTTGGGTGGTTTTGTAATTACGGACTGTTTGAAACTCAGGCTCATCTTTTGCTTCCTCACGCTCCCAGGGCATGGCACAATTTCCCCCTATGTACAGAAATGATTCATATCACACTGGACAGCATTGTCTAGGCCTAAGTGCAGGCACCTCATTTGCTGGGCCCTTTGAAAACCATGCACACACTCTCACTCTTACACATGTGCCCATCATCGCAGATGGCTTTCCCAGGCATTGCAGCTGCCCAGTCCAGAAGCAATGGGATGTGGCGGGGTGGGGTGTGATGATACTGGTGCCTTGGTGGTGCAGCTTTCACCCTGTGGCTGGAGCTGCCCCAGGGGCTAGCCTCAGCTCATGCGCAAGGCTGGTCTTGGGCTCACTGTCTGGTGGTGTACTGATACTTCTTCCTAAGGCAGTTCAGCAAGCCTTAAATTTTCCTCTACACTCTCTGATGATCCATTACTTTTGTTGTCAAAAAATTTAATGTGGTAGTCAAATCACATTTCAGTATAGTCCAAAGATGGCCTGTTGTGATAGGGCGGGTATCAAAAATTGACACCCAAAGTCTGCATCATCTTAGAATTCCAGACATGGGTTTCCCTATTACACAGACTCTCACCTTGGGCCTCAGTCACCTATTGAGACCGTGGCCTTTTGTCACAGTTGGGGTTCCTTCTACAGCTGGACCATCACTGGAGGAAAAGGTTTCCGTAGTGACCCTGGCTGCACCTCCCTGGGCACAGACTTGACTGCCATGAATTTTTATTTAATTAAACATCTGTTGAGGTAGCCAGTTTAAATTGGAGGTCATTGGCCAAATAGATAACATCCCATTATGAGCAGCCATCAGGGTCTACAATAAGTTGAGTTTTAATTATCCACAGAAGGGCTCCTAGCTCATATTTCTATCAGAGAGGACACAAGTTGCACAACTTGGCTTTTAAGCTCAGTCATAAGTCACATTCTCATTTCTCATGGAGGGTGTAGAAGAAAATGAACAGATGGCCACAATATTACCAGAAGGATGCAACAGTGGACTATGAATGAAATGTCCAGGAATATTGCATTTTGGAATGGTGTCCTGCCTCGTTACCTACTGAGTACCTTTAGATTTGAATGACTCAAAACCAAATTCATTGGGGCTGAGGGTGTGGCCCAGTGGCCTAGTGCTTGCCTAGCATGTGCAAGGCCCTGGGTTCAACTTCTAGCAACACACAATGATGAACATATTCATTAAATGAAGTTCATTTAATATAGGAGTTTGGGCATTTCCCTGGGTGTTAATGAGTCTGTATCAAACTAGTGAATCTATCCATATATTTATATATTGAGATCTAAAGAAACTTAAACCATTATGCCTTCCTGCATGTTTGTTGAATAGTTAATGTTAACATTAAATACATTAATTGTTTTTATATATATGCTATATATGCATGTATATTAGAGTATATCTATATATCTATATCTATCTATATATCTATATCTATCTAATGTATCTATCTATCTATCTATATATATATATATATACAATCTCTTTATATAATTTCTTAACATCAAAACCTTACAACATTATTGGTATTGTCTCCATTTTACTTAATTTGTTTCATTTTACTTTTTTGGTACTGGGGATTAAACCCCAGGGTGCTTAGCCATCATCCCCAGCCTTTTAAAAATGTTTTTATTTAGAGACAGGGTCTTGTTAAGTTGCTTAGTGCCTCACTAAGTTGCTGAAGCTGGCTTTGAACTTGCGATCCTCCTGACTTAGCCTCCAGAGTTGCTGGGGTTATAGGCATGTACCACTGCTCCTGGCTTATCTCCATTTTAGATAAAAGGAAATTGAGGTCCAGAAATGGTAACTGCCTTGTCCAAGGTTTACAATTGATTCTCTGCCTCATGTTCTTTTCTCTGTTTTGTGCCAGGTCAAGGTTTAGACTTGGGATAAACAGGAATGAGTGTTCTAGTTTTTACCCACAGGAACCCATAGTATGGTTATTACCAAATTCCCCCCCCTCCCCAAAATGATGTTTGAATCACATGCTGATCACAGTGGGGTCTTGGGAGAGGCTGAGCAGTTCCACATACCAGTCATGGGATTGGGGAGGAAGCTACTTATTTCTTTTGACTCTGTTTTCTCATGTTTGAACTGGGATGATATCTTCTCAGTGCCTTGTTGAGAGAATGGAAAGATCTGACTCTTTCCCCTCTCACTCCATTTGGTGACAAGATCTTAACAAAGGCAAGTTGTCATTATTCATTTTCCTTGGACCTATATTTTCATAGTTGGGTCACACAAGTGACCTTTTTATAGGTTTCTGAATCACATACAGAATCTTCCCTTTCTCTGTTCTAAATGCAACATCCTTTATAAAGTGCTAAATTCACATGATTTCTTGCAACTGTTAAAGTTCTTTCTGTCACTGAAGAACAACTGGGTGCCCCATATAGAGATGATGCTGAGATGCCAGACTTTTCAAGCTGCTGATTTCTTGTTGGCTTGCTTTTATAGGTGTTTGTGGAAATAACCCCTGTGAAGAAAAGAGTAGCACTGGGGTCTTCTCTACCAACAACCTGAGCAACCAGGGAAACCAGGGAAGTCTATCATCACATACACAGGACCAAGACAGAACTATTGGAGAGCTGAAAGTGGCTCAGCTACCGAGCTCAATGCCTCAGCTTTCCTCTCTGCCATTAAAGGTGATCATCCCCTTGCTTCTTTTTCTATACTTAGAGGAAAGAGAATAGCTCGTGAGTCCTGTGCTCTCCAAGTACCATGTCAGGTAGTTAGTTGGAGGTTACTTAACCCCTCTGATCCTAAATGCCTGCACTGAATATATGTTGAAAACTATGCTGAGTTCCTGACACAGTGTCTGGTGACAGGGTTCATTTTGGACATTAGAGTGTCCCTAATTACTAATTATAATTGCTCATGGTAATAACAACATGAGCAAATTGCTGCCAAGGGAAAAACATGAGTATCTCAATATCTTGGCTTCTAATTGGCTTTCAAGCTGGCAGCAAAGTGACTTTGGTCTTGACCACTATCCCATAAAATAGGTGCTCAGTAAATCTTATTGCATGGAGGAAGATCTTGAAGCCTGGTTTTGTCATATGAGTGACATGTTTCAGCCATCCTCTGGCTGCCTACTTGAACACTGGGTGGGAAAGTCCACCTTGGCCTCTCCAGACCCACCTTTTTGCCTTCTGCTCTGGGTCCCTTGCAACTAATGTGAACAGACCATGTCATCTTTCTCTTCTGGTTGGTTCTGCCCAGAAGCAGCTCTGGCAGGATCCTGCAGTTGGGGAACAGGTTAGGACAGGCTTGTTACTCTCCCTGTGCTGACACAGGGTTGCTGTCACTACAGCTGATGAGCACAGCTCCTATCAGGCAGTCTGGGCCCCAGAAGGACTCTCTAGGTTCTATTACCCACTTTCCTCTTGCCCAGGCTCAGGGGTGGTAAGAGCCTCCTCTGTTTCTTGTCCCTGGTGCTCAGCTTCTTCTTCTTAGTTTCTTCAAAGGCTGCAAGAACCTTTGAGCAGGTTTGCTTATCACTGCCATCTCTCCAGAAACTTATACAGTACCTGTGTCTTAGTCCATTTCCTGTTGCTTTATCAAAATAGCACAGACTAGGTAAATTATAAACAATACAAGTTTATTTGGTTCATGGTTCTGGAGACTGGAAAGCCCAAGATTGAGGGGCTGCATCTGGTAAGGGTCTTCTTGCTGAGTCACAATATGGGGAAAGGCACCAAATGGTGAGAGAGCAAATATGAACATAAGGAAGAAAGAGTAAGAGAAAAAGGGGGACAAATTTTATCTTTTTATAACTATTCGCTCCCACAATAATTTATCCATGAGGATTGTGCCATTATGACCTAATCACCCCTTAAGGTATTACTATATTATAATGGCAATTAAATTTTAAGAGTTTGGGGGCTGGGGTTGAGGCTCAGTGATAGAGCACTTGCCTAGCATGTATGAGGCACTGGGTTCAATTCTCAGCACCACATAAAAATAAATAAATAAATAAAATAAAGGTATTGTGTCCATCTACAAGTAAGAATATATAAAAAAATTTCAGGAGTTTTGGAGAGGACATTTAAACCATAGAATTTTGGGATAAAATAGGTATTCAGTTAATCTTGTTGCATGATTGGATGAATGAACAAGTCTTACAGAGTTATTGTAATATACCAAGCAAAATGCCTCGTATATGGAACAATCATTTTTCTCTTTCTTGAAGCATTCAGCTATTGTCTACTGAGGATCCAACATGGTCACTATTGCTAGGAATGATTAAATGACCTCCTCCTGAGGTCACTGGTATCATATGTGAGGCTTGGCTGGTATCATGAGTGAGGCTTTCAAAAAGTGCCTCGATAGCTTCAGTTCTAGCAGGTATTGCACAGTGAGGGGAAACAGGAAGGAGCTTACATTTATTGAGTCCTTGCCATGTATTGGGCATATTTGTAGTCAGTTACAGGAGGGGATCTCACCCAACAGTTATTTTTTTTAAGCTTATTGTATTTATCCTTTTAAATTAATTAATTAATTTTGTAGTAGAATGCATTTTGACACATTGTACACAAATGGAGCACAACTTCTCATTCCTCTGGCTGTATATGGTGCAGAGTCACTCCAGGGATGTAATCATACATGTATACAGGGTAATCATGTCTGTCTCATTCTACTCTGTTTCCCATCCCCACAGCCCCACCCCTCTCCTCACTCCCTTCTACACAAAGGAAAGTTCCTTCATTCTTCCCTATCTCTCCACCTCGCTATGGATCAGCATTTGCTTATCAGAGAAAACATTCGGCTTTTGGTTTTTGGGGATTGGCTTATTTCACTTAGCATGATATTCTCTAGTTCCATCCATTTATCTGCAAATGCCATAATTTTATTCTTATGTGTGGTTGAGAGAATTCCATTGTGTATATGTACCACATTTTCTTTATCCATTCATCTGTTGAAGGGCATCTAGGTTGTTTCCATAGTTTAGCTATTATAATTGAGCTGCTAGAAACATTGATGTGGCTGTGCCACTGTAGTATGCTGATTTTAAGTCCTTTGTCACCCACCAGTTCTATGGAATAGGAAATGGAAACTGGAGAATCTGGGAGACTTGGCGAAAGTCACATGGGGAGGAACTGACAATGCTGTAGATGAGTCCCTGTTTCCAGGCTGGAAGCTCATGCTCTTTCTGGATATAATACTGCCTATTCCTGGCAACTGGTGATAGATAAGAGGAACCTTCTGCATAGACACAGAAGGTGCCTCATGCCTTGTTTTCTTCTGTTTCTTTGTTTGGGACAGGGCTCTTCTTGTCCTCCATCACCTTCAGAAACCAATACTGATAGAATCTACTTTGTGGAGCTGGTTAAAGAAGATGGAACACTTGGATTCAGCGTGACTGTAAGAGATGTTAGGAGGGTTTAGAGTACAGTTAAAAAGGGCTCCCTATGGAGCCTTGGTGGGGCTTGGTTCATCTACTTCCCATGTGCCAATGGTGAGTGATACAGGCCAATGGTGAGTGGTGAAATCCACGGACATCCTGAGCAGGATCACAGTGGAGCCTTGATCTCCATCCTCCAAGGGCCAGACTGACATTTTGCATTTGACTTCTGAGCTCTAGCAGAACCTTATAGGAGATAACTCATAATCTTGATCACCCAAGGGGCTGGGAATGGTACACACAAAGGTGACAAAAACTCACAGGTCAGGGATTGGAAGGTACTGCTATTGTTACTGAGCACTGAAAATAACTCATTACCTGTAAACCTTGGAATGGGTCTAGATTTGAGCAATAATGCCATTGTTGATTTTTATTGTTGACTGAATATGGAATGGTATTTTCCAGCAGGTAAAGAAATGTCATGTTCCAAAAGAAACCAAAAGATAGGTGAATAGAGTAGGCATTCTTTGCTTTCCTACATGGTAATTCTGAAAACCCAAGATCCCTGGATTGCTGAACCATCACCCTGCAATAAACTTGACAGTAGATAATTTTAAGGAAACAAGTAAAACATCAAGAAATAAGCCTCATGAATTCATAGGGAGTGAGCAAGCTGCTACCAAGTATGGTCAATTTATTCTTGGCTTGGGGTAGTACTTTTATCAGACACCAAACATAGCTATTTCACATCTGAAAAACTTGCTAAATTTTAGATTATTCATTTACACACACACACACACAAACACACACACACACACGTTGATACTAAGAAGAGGTTGGTGATTTCTTTTGGCTGATGAAGAAAGTTTGATTTTCTTTGGAGAAGCTTAATTGCAAAAATAATTATTGAAATGTCTCATTCAAATCTGAAGAGCCATTAAACAAATGAAAAACAGTCAAATCCATGAGAAGTCACAGGAATATAAATTAAATTAAAATGAAACTTTACAACTTTCAACTTGTCTAAATATAGCTGATGGGATGTAGAAAAAGGGGACTGTCTTACAAAGCTGGTAGAATATGGATAATTACATGCACATTCACATTGGGATGCAATCTGGCAGCATCTCTGTAATGAAAAATGCACATATCCTTGAGCCCATAGAAATAGAAATCAGAATTCCACTAAGTAAGACCGTATACGTGAAGATGTTGAATACAGTATTGCTTACGCTGACAAAAACTCTGGGGAAAAATGACTAGAGATCAATTGAGGAAAGGCTGCCTGTGCTTAAAATAAATGAATCAGTGCTAGCTCCAGCTACATGGGAAGACTTCCATAAGGTCCCTATTCAGCAAGAAGTCAAGATGTAGAGAACTGTTCATATGAGCTCCCTTTTTGTGTAATATGTAACCTAGGTGAGTGTATATTTGTCTGTGTTTATTAGTAAGAAACAAAGGCCACCAAATAGTAGTCTGAAATGAAGCAGAACTTACTGTTTAACTTGGAAGAGAGAACTTCATCACCCTCATGCAATTTCAATAAGTCTTTCTAAAGAGGAACTGAAGGGGCTAGATAGAGGACAAAAAAGGCAGAAGTCCACCAAGCGAGGTGAGACTGTGAGAGAGTGTGTCTATGGCTGGCTCATGAGGTGGGTTGGGAGCCCCTTCATTTCTACATTTAAAAAACTGGTTCTTTTTAGTTATATATGACAGTAGAGTCTACTACTACTACTTTGACATATTTATAGAAACATGGAGTACATCTTATTCTAATTAAGATCCCACTCAGCTCCTTCTTGTTGGTTGGTTGCCTTAAGGTTTTGCATGAGCAATGTTGGAAGCCTAATTTCAAAGGAGTCTTGACTTAATTGAATTAAATTCCACCAGGTCTTAGAATTGGGCAGCTTTCTGTTACTATAGTAAATACCTGATATAATCAGCTAATAAAAAGAAATGGTTTGTTTTAGATCACAGTTTTAAAGATTTCAATCCATGACTGAATTGGCCCTTTTCTTTTGGGCTAGCACACAGTGGAGCAAAACCTCTCAACTCATGGCTGGGAAGTGAAAGAGAGAAGAAAACAGTAGAATTTTACAATCCCCTCTGAGGACATACTCACCCAAACCTAAAGACCTCTAATTAGGCCCACCTTTCAAAGTTTCCACCATTTTCCAGTAGTGGCACACTGGGTGACAATTCAGTCCAAGCAGGGTCGTTTAGCTGACAGGCTCGGATGTCCATCTTGAAGCTTAGTCAGGTTTTTCTTTAATCCTTTCTATATGATTATATGAACACACAAAAAAGTACAGAAGGATATATAGAAATATTCCCAGTTATTGCCAGCTATTAGTTTTATGTAGTGGGGTTGTGAGGCATTAAAAAACTAAGAAAATGTACAATCTCATTGATAAAAATTCTGTCTCATATGTCTGCAAGCATTAAGTAAATCAGAAGGGAAAGACAGAGTTAGATCTTGATAATTTGACCTATAGAATGCTCATAATTTATTGTTAAAAAATAAGTTACAGAATATGGTGTAGTTTCATTCTATATTTATATCTACAAATACACAACCACACAGGATGTTCCAGGCATAAATCTTCAGGCAAATCCACCTATGTTGGTTATTACCTGAAGAGATACTGTGTATCTACATGACTAGTTGCGAAGCACCTCCCATGTGTGGATGCTGGGCTGGGCTGAGGTTGGCTTCCTCACTCTGCTCATATTGTTGTATTCCAGGCAAACACCTGACCTTATTGCTCAGTGGAGAATATAGGCTACATGGGTGAATACAGAAGAGAACATTGAAAGGAGATGAGGCAATGATGGATGGTGGGGCACAAAGGGGCTTCCTTCATTAGGGACATAGGGGAGGACCCCCAAGAGGGGCAGATAGGTGATGAGTTCTTCCTTGTTTTTCAGGGTGGTATTAACACAAGTGTGCTCTATGGAGGAATCTACGTGAAATCCATTATTCCTGGAGGCCCAGCTGCCAAGGAAGGACAGATCCTTCAGGGTGAGGGATGGAGTCATGCTGGGAGCTCTGTGGTCTGGGCCAGGGAGGGTCAGCCTCAGGCCTCACCCCACTCCTGCTCTGGAAATTCCTGCAGACCATTGTCTCTCTAGGGTTCAATTTTGTCACCTGCAAAGGAGAGGATTTCACTTTCCTTACCCCATGTGATAGGCTAGCAGGGGGTGGGGGGGGTTAATGTTTGTAGTGACACATTGGGAAGCATGATATGAAATAAGAGATTTAAAAGACTCATTGCTGGCCTTCACGGGAGAGAGTACCGCTTCTCTGGGAGAACAGAGCTATCATTGGTGACTCCACTTTAGTATGGGAAAACAGTGAATGTTCTCTCCTGGTCTGCAGGAATTTCCAGAGCAGGAGTCATGTGAAGACATGTGAAGACAGAGTGGGCATTTGCATCCCTCCTAAGACACTTTAATATTTGGGGGGACTTAGTGAGTCTTCTCTCTGCCCTGCCTCAGGTCTCATTGCTCTGAAGGAAGGCAGTTGTTTTTATTATTTTTCCAAACTGCCAGAGTTGAGATAAAAAGGCATTTAAGATCTTACTTATCTCCATTTCCCCTTGAATTTCACTGTCTCCAACATTGACCATGTCTCCCTGACTTTTCTGAAAACTAAAAAAAAAAAAGTTTCTGGGGATATAAATATTATCTGAGCAACTTTAAAATACTTTCAAAAATGGTTTCACAGGAAAACAGGAGAAAGGTTAAGGTTGAACAGAGCTGGCTTAAACATCCTGTGAGCCAATAATAGAAAGGCTTTCATATCATTGATCTGTTACATCCCTCAGAAGGAGGGGTGAGGTATTCAGAGAGGCAGCTGATTCTCAGGCCGAGGCAGAATTCATGCTGACTCCATGGCAGCTCTGTGCTGTCCCACTTCTTGAAGCTGCATAGAGGATTCAGGGCAGGGGCCTTGCGGAAGGGTCCTTTCTGCATCCCCAGAGGTCCAGGACATGACATGTGTCCTTTTCCCAGGTGACCGACTCCTGCAGGTGGATGGAGTAAGTCTGTGTGGCCTCACCCACAAGCAGGCTGTACAATATCTCAAGGGTCCTGGGCAGGTGAGTGTACCCTTGCCAGGGGTTTTCCTTTACTTCCGGAGCTTTTCTGGACAACATGAGAAGCTGCAGTTTCTTCTGGGTGTGAGAGAGGCAGCCAGGGGGTTAGCAAGAGACTTTTTTCCTTGTCAACTTTTTTCTTTTTACTTCTTTCTCTTATCACTTTTCGCTGAGGATGTTGAAACTCAGGAGATAGCAGACAGATGTTTCCAAGCAGAAAAACTCATCCACTGTAAATAGCTTGAAGAGATTATGGTTCCTTGTCTAGATTTAGAAATCAGATGGTGAACAGAGTCAATGGGGTGAAGCAGTTTCTCCAGCCTGGCTCTGGCTCAGTCCCCCATGCCTGCTCCAACCCTGTTGACAAGTGAGTGCATCCACCTCATCCATCTCAGGCCTCCTCTCTTCCCTGCCTTTTTCCCATGATGATCCTAGCCTCCTGGTTTATGCCCTTCCCCATCACCCTGTTTGTACCCACTAGGACCTGGGCTAGGCTGTCCTGGGATTCTTGTCTCCACAATACTATCGAAATTCAGGATGCCAAGAGTAGGAGGTGTTCATCTGTATACTCCTTACTCCTGTTGTTCCCAGGCAGTGTATCCATGTTCCCATGCTATGATTTGTCCTGTGATGAGTCTTTAATTGCTATCCTGTCCTGAGCCATATAGCTGACATCACCCTTTTTTGGTAACGGAGGAGTCAACAGAGACAGAAAGGATTCCTGGGAGCCTTTGCAGAAAGCTCATAGGTGGAGCTTTGCTTTCTTTTAGCTTCCTTTCCCAAACCAGTCATCTGGTTCATGGTCAAATTTATTTGTCTTGGTGACTTTGGCTGACATATCTTGAAAACAGTTATCATTTATTAGCAACCTGTGTTCTTTAGACTTTTGCTAATGAACATGGTTAGAGAGGGCACTTGGCTGACTTGCTGGCAACAAGATAACAGGTAACAAAGGTATATAGTGCTGTGGGGGAAAAGGATGGGAAATCAAACCAGAAAGAAAGGGGGAGGGAATATTGGCATAGGCCCAGATGCCATCTGATGTGTTTGGGTTTTAGGTGATGAGAGACACTGGAGACATTTTTTTGTGAGTGGGGGTACTCGGATTGAACTCAGGGACACTCAACCACTGAGCCACATCCCCAGCCCTGTTTTGTATTTTATTTAGAGACAGAGTCTCACTGAGTTGCTTAGCACCTTGCTATTGCTAAGGCTGTCTTTGAACTTGCAATCCTCCTGTCTCAGCCTCCAGAGCTGCTCCAGGAGTGTGCCACCGTACTTGGCTTGGAGACTTTTATTCTAGAGTGTCCCATGTTCAGTTCAGTTTGTCTTATAACAATCTACCAGTAGCCATGATGGGGGTGGACCAAAAGGAATGAAGATAGGGTCCAGTAAGCCAAGTTAGTGGGAGCTTGCCGCAGTCTAGCTGGGCATTAGCAGTGGAGAGGGAATGGAAGGGGAACAGTGGAGACATTGTTTGCACAAGCCTTAAATCCAGATAGGTCTTTGGAGGTAGAAGAGGGAAAGCAGTACCACACTAAGTGTAGCCCCTGCGAGGTTAATGGAGAGATGGCTGCAAGTTATGAGAGCCAAGCAAAGGGGAGGAATATTTGAGAAAGGACAAGGAGGGCGCAAAGAGGATGAGTAAGTGAAGGAAGATGAGTATGGCACCGAAAATGCTGACAGGGAGGTACATGTGTTATTTTCAGGTGCATGAATCTAATCCACACTTGGAAATAGGGGTCTGGATACTACAAAGAGGCTAGATTGAAGACTTTGATTTGAGATTCAAATGAAGCAGCTCATTGGGAGTATCCGAAAATTAAAAAAAAATTTTTTTTCAGTGGAGGGAGTGCCTCCTGGTTGACATTTGAAGTACAAATTGAGTTTGTCCACCCATCCTTCTAGGTTGTAAGACTGGTGTTAGAGAGAAGAGGCCCCAGGACTGTGCAGCAGTGCCCTTCTGCTAATGACAAGATGGGAGATGAACATGCGGCTGTTTCCTTGGTAACAGCCCTGCCTGGCAGGCCTGTGAGCTGTGTCTCGGTGACAGATGGTAAGAGGAAAGAGAATTGAGTGTTACTATTGTCATGTCATCACGTACTGCTTTTGAATTGTCGAGTCAAAAGGGAAAGATAGGAAGACTTCCTCTGGATTCAGAAAAAAAAAAAACCCCGCCAGGAATGCAGATCATGATCATCAGCAGAGCTGATGGGACATGTTTCTAGAAAACAAATGTATTGTTCCAAAATGATTACCAGGCATAATTCTGCTCCCAAGCCTTCCTCAGTTTTCTGATCAGCTGTCTGAATATTAATATTTAAGTATTTATGGATGAAATTGCAATGGAAGGGTCATGGATTTTCAAATACATGCATTCCAGCTAAGGCATTTGTAACAGAGTTATCTGAGGACTGATGAGGCAGGTTGGGAGATGAGGGTGTTCAGGAAACTAGCCTTATTAGAAACATCATTTTGAAAAGCAAATCCATGATCAGTATAGAAGGGCATAATTGCCCATCTTCTGATGGATTGCCTCTTTCCATGTCTCTTGTGATTTTGTTTCCTGCTAGATTGAAAATGTTTATTTTCTTATGATGTCATGATTTAGAGCTTAGCCGTATCCCAGGCCTTGCATAGAGATCTTGGACATACCTGCAGAAGGTGTGAGACAGACTGGATGTAGGTAGTCATAGGGTTGAGTAATGTGGTGGCTGCAGGATGAACACTTATCCTTAAACAAAGTATTTCCTCTTTTCTTATTCTTTCGCACACCTCAATGGGGACCTTTGAAAAACTGTCTACACGCTGAGCCAAGGAGGCTCAAATGGTGATAGTAGAATCTGCTGTGTCACATGTCTCCACTGTATGGCTTCAGCCACTTGCGTTCTTGCCCCAACTGAGGTTTACAAGTTGAGGCTCTGTCCTTTTGTTCATTGATGCCAGCTCAGTTGATGAAGGTTGACAGGAGGAAGCCCAGGGACTTCTTTTGCTGCCATACTCCCTAGATGTCCAGGGTTGTATCTATATTTGGTGTCCAGGAGTGACTGTTTTGTCATATGGTCAGTCAATTCAACCAAATACAAGTGCAACTAAAACATCCTCAAAGTTGACCATAATTGTCCCCATGACCTAATTACACAAAATTTAGTATTGAGCATACTAAAACACAAGTAGGGTTCCAAAGGAATAATGTTTATTTGATTCAAATACAAATTATATCATTATATTTATTTTGTTAGTTATCTATAATTGCATTGTTCATTCAATGGCACTGTCCAATATGCTAACCACTTGCAATTTTGGCTATTGAGCCACACATGGCATTAGGCTATTAGGCTATTTGGCCTAATCAAATAGATAAAATACATTCTGGGTTTTGAAAACTTAGTTCATAAGAAGAATGCAAAATATCTCATTAATATTTTTTCATATTGATTATATGTTGAAATGATAATATTTTAAATGTGCAGATGGTACCTAACTTTTGATGGCTTCACTTACAATTTTTCAACTTTACGATAGTGCAAAAGCAGCATTCAGTAGAAACTATACCTTCAGCTTTGAAGTTTGACCTTTTCTGGGGTTGGTCATGCAAGATATGCAGATGATCATCTCTGGAGATGGTAGGCAGCTGCCGTGCTCAGGAGGGGAAACAATGGATGTTCTGCTGAGTGATGTGCTGTTCAGCTAGGATGAACTGTAGGTTACTTTTGATATTTTCAGTTTATAAGGGGTTTATCAGGATGTAATCCCATCATAAATTGAGGATCATCTGTATTGAGTTGAATAAAATATATGATTAAGATTTTAATTATATCTGTTTCCTTTTACATGTTTTTGGAACCAGGGATTGAACCCAGGGGTGCTTAACCACTGAGCCATATATCCAGACCTTTTTTTTTGTTTTATTTTGAGACAGGGTCTCACTAAATTGCTTAAGGCCTTGCTGAGTTGCTGAGGCTGAACTTGAACTTGCAATCCTCCTGCCTCAGCCTCCTGAGCCACTGAGATTACAGGTGTGCACTGCCACCCCTGCTTACTTTTTTCTTAATGTACCTATTTGAAAGCTTTGAAATGACACTGTGGTTTATATTTGAGCTCATATTACATCTCTATTGGGCAGCACTGGTCTATAATAGGCATAATAGACTCTGTCATGAAAATTAGCATGTGAAATCTTTTAATGCAAGTCAGAAATAATTCATTACCTTGACAATTTGCATTTTGAAGCTTATCAATTGTAACCTACTGAAAGATTTATTTCTATCAATGTTTCAAATGCAGGTCTTAAGTTTGAAGTCAAACTGAAAAAGAATATCAATGGTTTGGGATTCAGTTTTGTGCAGATGGAGAGAGAAAACTGCAGCCACCTCAAGAATGATCTCGTGAGGATCAAGCGGCTATTTCCAGGGCAACCAGCTGAGGAACATGGAGCCATTGCAGTTGGTGACATTATCCTGGCAGTCAATGGAAGGCCCACAGAAGGCCTTGTCTTCCAGGTGCTGGGGCCCTTGAGGACCACAGTTATGTGTACAGGCTGACATCAGCCATCATTCTTTCAGTGCCCCAATGCCACCCCTGCAGGGAGTACTCAGGCTCTTGAAATTCACACCTAGAGCCTGGACTGATCACACAGAAAGCGTTCCCACATTTAATTTTCTGTCTCAGTTTCTAAATCTCTGACCTTAAGGAAGCCTTGCTTCTCATGAGGTTCATCAGTGAAACTGAACATGAAATTCTGGAACCGTGTGTGAGACTGGAGGGACTAGAGTGGGTCCCTTTCTGCTCTCTTCCCCTGAATTTATAGTTTTTGACACATAACACTGATTATCCTGCCTGTGATAAAATGGAATTAGAGAGAGAGAGAGAGAGAGAGAGAGAGAGAGAGAAAATGAGACAGAAAAGAGGATTTTTCTTAATTCCCATAGCATAAATCTCAATCAAATGTTGTCTAAGTTAATCAGGGTCCTGCAAGAAACTGAGAAAATGGAGTCATTTGTGGAGAGTTTAATAATGTGTGGGCAGGTTTTTGGGAAGTTGGGGGAGAGTGTAGCAGACTGGGGACTAGGGCTCGTCATAATGGGGTACATTTCCCACTCTCCCAAGCCCAAAGGGGATGGGGAAGGAGCAATTACCTAAGCCCAGAAACTGCCAGAGTGGGTGAAGAGGACTCACTGGCACAACATTAGCGGAGGGAAGGAACCATCTTGTGGCAACCCCATGGAGAGGAAGTTAAGAACCAGCATTGACCTCCCTCTCCTCCCTGTCCCTAGTCTCTGCCTGTGCTCCTTTGGTTGAGTCCAACAGGGAGCCTCATGCAGCCCACACAAATGGGTTCCAGGAGCCCAGAGTAGGAAGGTAGAAAGTGGAGATCAGCTCTGGGAGGGGCCAGGAGGGGTGTGGAGTCTGCAGAACAGTGTGTGCTTAGGTGGGGAGGTCTCACCTTCATTCATCCATCCTCTGACTGAAACCTGTACTCTGAGAGAGACTGAAGACATGGGGGAGAGGAGTTCATATAGTCTCAGAGATCAGGTGGAAATGGGACAGCTCAGGAAACAAAAATGACTACAGAAAATAAAGGGCATATCTGGGCACAGTGGCACAAGTCTTTACTCCCAGGAACTTGGGAGACTGAGGCAGGAGGATTGCAAATTCAAGGCTGGCCTCAGTAGTGCCTCTGGGTTCATTCCCTAGTACAAATAAAATAAAATAAAATAAAACAAAGAGTTGTGAGAGTTGAAAGCCTGTGCTGTTTCAACTTCTCCAGGGAAGAAGTGCATCCTGTGGAAGTCCTAGGTGGCTGAAGTGGGAGGCTGTGGAACATCTGGATCATTGGTTCTTAAGCAGAAATGCATTTGTCTCTCAGGGGATATTTGGCCTCGCACAGAGATGTTTATAATTATCACAAGTGACAGGTGGTGCTGGCATCCTGTGAATAGAAACCAGAGATTCTGGCTAAACATCATTCAATATATAGGACATGTGTCTCAGCAAAGAATGACCCACTTGACTCCCCAGTACTGCAAACCCCCTCCCAAATAAAACCCTCCAGAATTATTCAGCCTAAAATGCTAATAGTACTAGGAGACTGACAAATCCTAGTCTCAATAGGAAATAGGGGCTATTAACATCCTTGTGTTATGGGCAGGGTGTAGGTGGCTTAGAGCATAGGTTCAGCATGGTGGGAGCTTAGGATGTGGGTGGAGAGGGGAGAAAGAATATGGAGAATTAGCTGGGGAGAGAGGCAGTGGCAGATGAGAACAGTGTGCTCTGTGTTTGGGACAAGCCAGGGAGGTGGTACAGCAGCAGGAAAACTTGGCCATTTCTGCACTTTGGAGACTGCTTGGGCCATTCAGAGGAAGGCAGGTGGGAGACACTGGAGAAGTCAGGAATCAAATTGGGCCATTGCAGTATCACATGTGAGAGGTTCTCAGGGTCCCAGCAAGCCATGGCAGGAAGCTCAGAGCCAGTGTCATGCTTTGGAAGTCTAGGTAGTGGGGCTAGTCCCAGCCTAGCCTCTGTGCATTGCCCCTGTGGGTCCCACAGCCATTGTCCTTGTCTTCTTGCCCTTTGAGAAGTCAGGCCCACAATGGTGTTCTTCAAACTTCTCTGGAGCCATGAAACAGATCAAGGTCAGGGAAGTGGTAGCCCTCCAGTCATAATGGGGAATATAGAGGAGAAGCTCCCTAGAGATTCCAGCCCCAAATCTGACTGTGACTCTGGGTTTTTCATAGGAGGTACTCCATTTACTGCGAGGGGCACCACAGGAAGTCACACTCCTCCTTTGCCGACCCCCTCCAGGTATGCTGCCTGAGATGGAGCAAGGATGGCAGGTAAGATACTGTGGACTCTACTGTCTTTATCTGGCTCCCAAAGTTACCTGGTCAGAAAGTCTTTTCCCTGTATGGTGGTCCTAAGAAGCACATTGCTACTTGTAGGAAGATTCGCCACCACCTCCTTCCACTGGGGGAAGAAAATAAGTAGCTCACAAGCATCAGTGAGTCTCCTTCCTCCTTCTGCTTCTGCTTCTCACGATGCTGAGGTCTTCTTGTACATGTTTATACATTTAGACTTTGGCCGGGAACCTTCTAAGGACAAGCTTTTTGGTAGACTGATCATCAGAGAAGAAACAAAAAGAATATACATAAATAAGGAATTAAGTGGAAAATAGGATGTATGCCTGCCCTCCTAAAGTAGGAAAGCATGAGGTTCTCCTAAGGCATGTGTGATCTAGTACAAAGAAAAGAGCCACTGGAATCAGGGAAAGTCAAAATTTTTACCTTGATGCTTATGTTAGAGAAACAGTACCACACACACACATACATATCTCTCTCTCTCTCTCTCTCTCTCTCTCTCTCTCTCTCTCTCTCACACACACACACACACACACACACACAAAAGAAAGACATTTATTTTAAGGGATTGGAATGTTGGTGGCTGTCCAGCCCCAATTCTACAGGGCCAGCCAAAACAGGCTGGGGCCTCAGGGAAGAGTGCATGTAGAAGTCCAGCTCCAGGAGAGTCTGGAGGCAGAAGTCCCTTTTATCAGGGTAGGGGCAGGAGGTGACCTTTACTCTCAATGCCTTCATCTGATTGGATAAAGCTCCACATTATGGAGGGTAATCTATTTTACTCAAATTCTACAGATTTAAATGTTAAGCACATCTGAAAAATATCCTCACAGCAATAACTAGACTTTATCTGTCTTTATCTGGCTCCCAAAGTTCCCAAATATCTGGTTTTGTGGGCAAGCTAATGTGAAATTCCCCATTGCTCTGTCCCCTGTGGAGTCCTAGGAAACAAACTCTTAGGCAGGTATTTGAGTGCAGGAGGTTTATGGGTCCTTCCATCTGGGACATCATCTGTGAGGAAGAGGTCAATATGGTGCAGCTGCAAAAATGGGCCTCAGTGATCCCCTTAGATCTATCCTGAATTTCACTCTGCTTTAACCAGCAATGGGATGTGGGCTGATCCAGGGAGGGGGCCTAACTTTGGCTGAGGGAGCTCAGCAGTGGTTCCTGACATTGTATAAAAATCAGTTTTTGGTAGCCTTTAAAGATGTTTATAGTGGGAGGGAGGGGAAAAATGGATGGGGAGTAATATTGGCTAAATTACATTATTATATTGTGTGCATATACAAATATGTAAAAACAAATAGCATCAGTATATATGACCATAAGGCACCAATTAAAAATATGGGTAAAAATATATTTATAGCATATCAAATGAAGAGGTCTATTAAACAGTAGTTTATGGCACATAAGTATGAGGTCAGGACTGGAAAAACTGAATTTGGAATTGTTAGCATATAGCCATCACAGAATGGCTTTAAGTGGTGGGGACAACATTAGGAAAGTCAAGAAGAGGACTGAGAAGTCAGCACCAGGCCTCAACACTGAAAGGTCTTGTTCAGAAAGATGAGGCAGCAAATGAGAATGAGAAGAAGGCCTGAGAAGTGCTAGGAGAACCACACAAGGGTGCAGATGACAGCAAACCCCACGTATGTAGAGTAAATAAGTAAGGAACCTTCCAATAAGGAGGAAGGGACCAGAAGTCTTGAGTGCCCATTTGTCTTCTGCAGTCACACATCTCACATTAGCGTGGTCAGAGGCTCAGAGCATATGTGATGTCCACGAGTCGTTTCACTAGAAACTGGAATTTAGATGAACTATCTGCAGGTGGAGTGGAGTGGACTTCTACATGCACTCTTCCTAGAGATGGAGGTGGAGAGGGATGAGAGGAAGGAGCATAGGGGAGTTCTTTGTTTTTGTGGTAGCAAAAAATGGGGTAGAGTCCTTTGACTCTAGGCAGAGTCAAAGGAAAAGTGAGAGCATGGTGGTGGGAAGAGGAGTGACGGTGATAATTAAAGAGCAGCAGATCCTGGACTGGAAGCCTTGAAGAGTGGAAGGACTGCGGGAGAGAGTGTCTGAGGACTGGGAACAGGAAGGAGAGCGAGGGTTAAAAAGATCTTGAAGGTCCCCCCAAAGAATACAAAACTGTGATAACTGTTCTTTCTTTTCATTTTTTTCTCATCTATTTTAATTTTTGGTACATCCATTATAATGTGCAAGTCTATCCATGTTACGTGTTTCTAATTTATAATTAATAAATGTGCACCTCTCATTGTGGGGATATAGACAGTTAGAAGGGCAGGGAATCCTCAGGGGTGGGATGGTAGAGGTGAGGACAGGGCTGTGAGCTCAGCCAGTGTGCTCACTGGGATGTAGATTATGGATTAGAAGTGCTGACCTAATTTTTAGGCAAAGGTGAAGTCACGACTGTCAAACAGTTATAAACATGAGCACCTGTTAAAGATTTTCTTTAACTCATTGAAAGAGGAAACTAGGCAGATGTTAAAACTGATTCAACAGAGATTTCAAAGAACAACACATTTATTCATAGAGTTGTAAAATAGCTCAAAGGCCACGAATGTGGCTAAAATCAAATGACTCAGAAGGTTGTGCTATGCATGGTCTTTTAGAAACACAGACTGTCCTTCTATAGAAGGTTGAGTAGTGGTAACAAGTCATAGCAGGTTTTCAAAGTAAGAACCTAAAAATCCAACAGAGGTACAAGCAATAGAGGTGGATCAAGTCATGTTTGGAGAAGAGGGGTTGAGACCCAAGAAAGAGCCTCATGCTGGAAGGCAGAGAAAACTCTTTTCTTATTGGAAAGTAAGATAAAATGTCACATTTTTTCTTAGTTTTTCTCCAATTTTCATTATGTCTAAATATTGCAAATACTGTAGTATCCCTTCTTCAGAAGAGATATGTTTCAAAACCCCCAAGGGATGCCTAAAACCATGTATAGTGCCAACTCCTGTATATCCCATCCCCCCATATGACCTGCAGCATTACCACATAGTACCAGAGTTAATCTGTCCTTCCATCTTTTATGTCCTGATGCCTTTTTGCATCACTACTCTTGTGCCTTTTGGCCAGTATTAAGTAAAATAAGGGTTATTTGAACAGAAGCACTACAATACCCTAATAGTTGATCTGTGACCAAGATAGCTACTGAGTAACTAATGGGCAGGTAATGTATACAGCATGGATACATAGGAAAGAGATGATTCATGGCTTGGGCAGGATGGAGCAGAATAGTTTTGAGATTTCATCATCCTATTGAGAATGGTGTGCACTTTAAAAGTTATGAATTATTTATTTCTAGTATTTTCTATTTGATATTTTTAAACTTTAGCAACTGAAAATGAAGCCATGGATAAAGTGGTGTGTGTGTGTGTGTGTGTGTGTGTGTGTGTGTTTGTGTGTTTGTAATGAATTTCTCATTACAAAATAATCAGAGCTCACATTTATTGAGAGTTTTCACTGTTCCTACACTAAGGTGCTAGGGATAGGACTGAGTGTGTTGCTGTGGTTCAGGAGGAGTAAGTGGGAAAGCTTAGATCTTGATGGAGGGGTCTAACCCCAAGGTCTATCTTTTAACTGCTCTGACCTACAATCATGAAAAAAAGCCTTTTATTTCTCAAAGAGGCAAGTTTTAGAGTTTGCTCAGTGTGCACCATGGAGCCAGTAATCATTAGCATTTCTTTTAATAGATATCTGCACTCTCAGCAGACAAAGAACTCACCAGGGCAACATGTACTGACTCAGAACACAGCCCCAGCCTGGACCAAGAGGACAGATGGAGGGACAGTGCCTCCCTGGATGCAAGGGAAGGCCTGAATCTCAGGCCAGAGTCTTTTTACAAGGCCACCAGTGAGGCACAAGGAGGCCAAGACAGACAGAAACTATGGGCTGGGTCCTTGACACGTCCTCTGGAGTCCCATCCTCATTTATGTAAACTTCACCAAGAAATGGAGCCACCAATATTGGCTACTTCATTGGAAAATGATTTGAGGCAAAACTGCTATTCTGTGTGTGATATCAGGAGACTTGGAAGGTAAGACTAATGACATTTACAGACATTTTGTAAATTGCATGTATTTCATTATAATCAAGCAATCAGTAACTAGGCTCAGATGCTTATTGTGTCCAGTATTGTTCTAGACATTTGGAAGGGAAGCAGAAAGAAGAGGAGCATAGTTTTTGTAACCACAGCTTATGAGATTTGGGGGAAGCAACCCACCTAGACCAAGATTGTCCCCAGTATGTCCTGGAGAACACAGAGGGCAGCCTCGGGTTTTCACAAAACTTTGTCTTATACCATTCATAGCCTTTTAAAGCCTCTAATAGTGGTAAGAAGTTCTTGCAATATAATTCTTTATTATCCACACCACCTTTAAAAAAATCCATCTACATCTTCAGAAACAGAGTAAAATTTTCATGTTAACAGCCATTTTTGTTCCTATCCATCCTTAAGTATTTGTAGTTTACTACTGTTCTCATGAAACACACATCTTTAGTTAGATAAGTATTTATTATATACCCAAAATTCTAGGGAACTTGCTAGGAGCAGAGAGTGGAGTACAAATGCAAGGGGGCAGTTACTGCTTCTAGGTGTTTGCCAACTCAATGCCTATGCACCCAACAGGCAAATAGCAAAGAGCAGTAGTTTGTGTTTGACACTATATAAATGCATTGAGATTAAATTGCTCTAATTTATGGTCATCCTAGACAAGAGACACGAGTAGATAAATAGGACTAGCTGCTGATATGAAGAATAATCAGCCCTTCATATGTGTGGGTTCTGCATTGTGGATTCAACCAACTATAGACTGCAAATATTTGTAAAAATTGCATTTGTACTGAACATACACAGATTTTTTTTTTTTGGTCATTATTCCTTAAACAGTATGGTAACAACTATTTACGTAACATTTCCACTGAGTTAGGTATTATGAATAATCTAGAGATGATTTAAGTATGTGGAAGGATGTGTAGGCTATACACAGATATCTACTACATTTTGTATAAGGGGCTCCAATATCTGGGGATTTGGGCATCTGATGGGGGGGTGGCGCTCTGAAACCAACCCCCTATGTATATTGAGGCTCCACCGTATGAAGCAGCAATAAGCATACAATTAAGCCTTATGAGAGACATGACAAACAGAGTCCAGGCCCACATTCCCTCAAAGCAACCTGATTCAATCTTTTAAAGAACAGTGTGTCAGCCAAACAAAACCTAACTAGCTTGCAAAGTAGAACAGGGTGGGCAAGCACATTAATCAGTGATACTAGTTTCAATTGTTTGATAATGAACATATAAACCTATGTGTATTTACAGTTCCTTACAATTGCTTTCTAGGCAGTAATTGATATACTTGATAAAATCATAAAAAGAATAACCTATGGAGATATATCCAAGGACAATCATTAACATGCTCTTGTAGGACATATAAGAATTCTACCTCCTATAGGCATGGGGCTACTATTTTGAATTATTAAAAATCTTATATCCAGATAATTTGGGGTGATAAACCCTGTCATCTGGTTTCTAAAGTAGTTCTGGATTTACATGCAAGCCCAGACATAAAATTACCATGTGCCCTTAATCCAGTATAGTTGATAGTTACTAAAAATGCTATTTTCAAACTAATTACTAGGTATACAGTCAATACTTCATTCACAGTGTCATAGAATATCAGATTGTTCCATATAAAGATGATCTAACCTAAACTCATTTTCCTTGCTAGAATCTGTTCTATAACACTCCACAAGAACGGGACCCAGCTTTTGTTTGAATATCTCCAGGAATGCAGAACTGGTTACCTCTTGAAGTGACCCATTTGAATATCATAGAGTTGTTGATCACAAAGTGCTTCATTTTATCAAGATGAAATCTATTTCTTTATTTCTTCTACTTGAAAATTCTGACACTCATCTCTTCTTATCCTTTTCTCATTAATTTAATTTTATTTTTTGCAAGAAACATCATATTATTTTGTTTTTCTGATTAAATTTGGCTTTCTATCCCTGCTTACAAGGGCATACCAGATGTCCAAAATCTGTCATTCTTAGAGGGGGTTGCCTTTTTAGAATCACATAAGAGTCCCGAATGCTTGTCCAGAATATTCTAGTAGAGCCTCTGCACTCACTTCGTTTCCACCCTTTGCTGATTGCCCTGGCCCATATGGTCCACACAGCCACGGCAGGCAGCCTCAGTGTTGTCAGCACTGCTCCCTCCATAGCCCTCACCTTCTCCTTGCACTTGCCTCTTGGTGATGGTTCTGGCTTTATTTATTTGTTTATTTTCGTTCTCCCCCCACAGGAACCTTTTCTCCTCTCTGAAAGAAAAACTCAAATCATGACAGCTTTTCCTCCAACAGTACATTAGCTCACATTTAATGCACAAATAGCAAGTGACTGCCCCCTACCGGAATGAAAGTGTGGCACAAGCCCAGCAATCACAAGGCAGTTCTTTCAACTCCTGAGAAGGATGGGAATTAAAAATTCCAAAATAAGATTGTGGTTCTTTGTGGATCCACTTAGAAATATCTTCAGTTTTGATGCGGCTGTGCCAGGCCAACTGCCTCTTTGTTTCTGGTATCTATGGGTCAAACTTTCTGCAGTTTACAACAAAAAAGCATAAACTTCTAGATCACATATCTTGGTTTTAGTTTTACTACTTACTAGTGTGCCTGGAGAGGTGATGGCCCTGAGCTGGAGGCGTCCCCGTTATGAACAAAGATCACAACCATTGCACAGGACATGTGCAGATCAAAAGAAATCACACATCATAGTACTTGGCACAGAGTAGGGACTCAGCACAAGTCTGTATTTTTTCCCTTTCTAGCTAAAGGACAGGCCTTGTAAATTGAAATTCCCTGCAAAGTACCAGAACTTACCATCTACTGGGTGGCTACTTCTTAACCCCAGATGCCTTCCAGCACCTCAGAAAACTCAGAATGTCACAGAAAAGATTAGATTTCATTTTTCCTTCTTTGTTCTCTTCATTCTCTGTTCAGAGATTTTTGTCATGTAGTCATGGATCTTTGTAAGCACAACATCAGAAAGCAGTGCAGTCCATTTTCACAGAGGATTGTAGGGATTCTGTGCCTATTAGGGGCAGGGCTTGGCTGGGGAAGCATTTGCATCTTTTTAAAAAATTGTTCTAATTAGTTATACATGTCAATAGGATGCATTTTGACATATAGTACACAAATGGAGCGCAATTTCTCATTCCTTTGTCTGTACATGGTGCAGAATCACTCCAGTAGTGTAATCAAACATGTATACAGGGTAATCATGTCTGTCTCATTTTACTGTCCTTTCCATCCCCACAGTCCCACCCCTCCCCTCACACATCTGCATATTATTCAGGGTTAGTTTCTAAGGTTTGGACATAAGGTGAAAATCACATTAAGTTATTTTGCCCTTGAATATCACTTTGGAAGATATGATGTTATGTGCTTCCTTAGTGTGGGAGCAGAACACTTCTTTGTTTGAGCCCCAATGCAGTCTGGAGGCTTGCATCTGTGGGCCATACTCTATGCGAACTATGTATCTTCAAATCCTGGGCTATAGGAACTGAGACTGAACCTCGGACATGGAAGATTCCCTTCTCCCACTCAATGTGTACTTCAGGGCTTATACTCATTGGGTGAGAAGTTAGACACAGCAAAATGTTTGAGGTTCTCTCTTTCTCTCTCTTTCTTCCCTCTCTCATGTAGCACATGTAGTTGAATTGATGTAAGTAAAATGCATGTAAGTTGAGCAAATGCCATTTTGTAAAATGATAAATTTTTATGGCCATTTAAGAAGCAAAAAAGAAAAAAAAAGCTAGGTACAGTGGCATATACCTGTGATCCCAGAAAATTGGAAGGCAGAGGCAGGAGGATAATAAGTTTGAGGCCAACTTTGTCAATTTAGTGAGACTCTGTGTCTAAGTGAATAAAGAGCTGGAGATATAGCTCAGTTGTAGAGCACCCCTGAATTCAGTCCCCAGTATTGCTAAATGAATGAATGAATGAAATGCAAAATAAAGCAGAAGTCCTTGAAATGAACCCAAAGTGACTCTACAATGCCTTCTGTGAGAGGGCACTGCTCTTGGAATAGTAAAGAATAATTAGCAGGCTCAAGGAGCTGCCAGGCCAGCTGTGACAAGAGTAGCTTTTGGGAGATGAATCAGCCAATGAACAGAGCAGGGCTATCACGCCTACACTTCAATGAGAGTGTGGTTGAGGGGAGTGAGTGAGGCACAAGCCCCGATAGGACCAGCAGTAGCCTAACAGAGCGGAGCCCATAGCAGGCTCTCAGCACTTACAAGACCCCCTCCCACCAAGACATACCTCTCTGACAACTCCAAAATATTGATCTCCGTCTCAAATTTCATTTGAACTTCAAATACAGCACTCCATTAGACCTCTCTACTTGATGTCTTAGAGACATTGCAAACCTGACTTGCCAAATGCTAAAGGAGCGAAGACCCAGAGCTCCCATAAGCATCACTAGGGCTAACAGGACATGCGAATCAGACCCAATACTGGAAAGCTAGAGAAAAAGCTAGAGAAAAGGCTGAAGTTTACATGAAGAGATACAAAATTTAACTTTTTGTAAGATTAACCACAAGTAAATAGAACAATTATATTGTAATAGCTTCTTATTTCAAATCTGAAATGCTATCTTCTAATTTGTCTTCCTCAAAGATGGAGATGATTTTGGTAATCCAGATCTTTGAAGAACATCATCTGCTATGGAAACTGGACTTGGTGTCTTATCTCTGCAAATAACCTATCATGAGCTGAATCTCCAGAATAATTTAACTGACCTCAGAGCTAAATTAGGGTTCCTATTCATAGAAATAGCTGCTAAAGAGCTGCAGGATTTTGGTGGGATCCTGTCTGCTTACATGGAAGAGAGATGGTTGGGCAGAGGGAGCCCAGGGTGGATCTCCAGATCTTCTTTTAGGTACCATGTATCTATCAAAGACTCCTTTTGGATAGCTTGGTAGACAGGAACAAAGGTAGGAGCATTCAAGTTAACTAAATATACCTGGGGGTGAGCAGAGAACTCTGAACACATTGACCCCTTCCGTTGCTTCATGGGAGCCCTGCTACATTCTCCCTGGAGGTCTTAAACTGGCTTCAGGTCCCAGTGAAGAACTCTGACCCTGTACCTGGTCTGTCCACCTGCCAAAACACCTGGCCTTGCTCTACTGTCTTTATCAAATTCCTCAGATCTCCAAGTCTTGCCCTTTCTAAGCAATAGGCTCCACCTTGGAGCACACACAGGCCTTTCTGTGCCTCTTCTTTCCTTGTTCACCCTTTCCCATGCCCATGGTGGAGTTCAAGGTCAGATCTGCAAGAGTAGCTTGAGTGTGTGCAGAAGAGTGGAAGCAACAGCTGTAGTTCTTCATAACTTATAGCAGAATGAGGACAAGGATCTCTCCATGGGGACCACCAAGACCTACCTGGAAAGGTTGATATCCTTCTAGGTCTATGTCTAGGCAGGATCAGAAGCTGGAGCCTCAAATCAAAGCTAGACTCCTTATCAGAAGAGATAGAGCAAGAAAGGTGGTAAAGGTGTGGTATGGACTTTCAGAAGGCTCTAATGGCTGGTGGGCAGCAGCTTCGTGCCCCCTCAGGGTGGGGAGTTTGGCCTGGGCCAGCATGGGCAGCAGTCTAATTTTCCTGGATGTTCTTATGTTTATATGTGATTCAGACTACTATTTTTAAGTTTTGAAAACATTTTTTTTCCTCCACACATTCAGCAATTTTTACTTTTCTTCCTCATCCCACCCTCCAGCATTTGTTTTTTCCAGCCAGGCATACTCCTGTAATCCCAGCAACTAGAGAGGCTGAGGCAGGAGGATCCCAAGTTTGAGGCCAGCCTTAGCAACTTAGGGGAGACCCTCTCTCAAAAATAAAGAGGATTGGGGATGTAGTTCATTGGTAAAGTGGCCCAGGGGTTTAATCCCTAGTACCAAAACCAAAAAGAAAATGAAAGCTTTTGGTCCCCTTGAAAGTGAATGTTTCTCTTTAGTCCGTGCAAAATACAGTTTCTTTTCTATATACACAAGTGTGCTTGCATTTACATGGAATTCACTGCCGCATATACCCTGTAGCTTCTATGAGCAGAAATGATGTCCTTTTCACAGCAAAATCAGGTTGTGACCGATGCTTTCTGGGTGTTCGGGGTTTGTAGCCATTGGTAAGTGCTACAGCTGATTTTAAGAGAGTCAGTGTGGGAAACGAGAAGGGAGGGAAGGGACACATAACAAAGCCAACCTATTGAGGAAGGAGGCTGAGAAAAGAGGATTTGTGTACTTGGTGAAACAAACTAACAAATAAATTAAATCTCTATGCTTTTCTCTTAGATTTTCCTTCTCATCCTCTCTAACCAGACTTGCAACAGATATTTTCTGAGCACCTTCTCTGCATGTCTGCAGTGCTGTGCAAAGTTCCCTGCTGTCTGCCTGGACTGTTCTTTCTAATCAAGGCATGTGTGGCAATATTGGGGTAGTCCCTGGAAGGCTCATTCTTTCACCGTTGAGTCTGCAACATCAGATAATGGGTTTTACTGTTCTTCTGCTTCCTATGTCCTTCCAAGACAGGGAGTAAATGTCACTCCAGCTGGCTGCCTCTCGAAATAGGCACTTTTATTCAGCAGTCAGAAAAGGACCTCATATATGCAGAAAGTGCTTTGAAGGTCCCCTGCTTGAGTCACTCCCAGTCTCCTTTGTTAGCTTTTCCAAGTAATCCCTCTGCTGAAATCATAATCATCATAATAGTCGTAATAATAGCATCTTTCACTGACTGAAAACTCACCCTGTGCCAGGATCCATGGAAGATATATATCAGAATTATTTAATTTAAACATCCTAACAATCCTATAAATTTGTTGACTTTCCAGTTTTTGCAATGAGAATATTAAAGTTCCAGAGAAATTAATAAACTCTGTTTATCTTGTGAAAAGTTGATCCTAGAACTGAGTCATAGTGCTGCTCTCAATGCTCTGCCCTCTGTCAAGTCCCGTGTGGCCTCTGGGGCTTGGTAAGCTGTCCCCTGCTCATGAAACACTCAGCTGCTTCTGCCATTGCACTTACTGTTCAGACTGTATCATTTGTTTGCTGCTCTTTGGTCTTAAACTGATGCTACTCCAGCACAGGTGCCATGCCTCATTCTGTGATTACTTTCTGATGCCCGGAGCAGTTTCTCGCAGGAGCTGTTTGAAGTCTAGCTGGGTCTCATGTGTCATATCATGGTGCGCTTCCTGCAAGGCAAGAGGAAGCAGGGTGAGGATTTTCTGACTGAGACTGGAAGGACACCCATTTCTGTTTTCTAGTCCTGAACTGAATAGGGATGATGAGGAATGTGACGTACATTATCCACCTGAAAGCCCTTCCCCCACCTCGGAGGATGAAGAGTACCTGACGATCAACTCTGTATTCGAAGACGAGCTGCCCTGTGCAGACTGTCTGGAGGCAGATTCAGGGACCATTCCTTTGCCACAGTTCTGTTCTTGGGGCCCTCTCCCAGAGTCTTTGCTTCTGGAAGGGTCCCATGAGAGTGACAGTGAATGGGAAGACCTGGAAGAGCCTGTGGATACAGATGATGGTGGCCTCAGGTGGGTATCAAGCTCTCTCTGGGTGGGATGAGGCTGAACTCTTCCCCTGGGGCTCAGTATTTTCAATCCACTTGGGCCAGGATAATGGACCATGGCATGACTAAGTTCCTCCGTCATCCACTGGGGGGTTGTCTTGGCAGCTGTTTTCATTGAGTGTTTCCTACAGTCCTTGTTCCATGACAAATACCTACCAGACAGGGACTGCCATCACCTTCATTTTACCTAGGACATTTGGGGCTTCTCCAGGGTCAAATGGTGAGTAAATGACAGAGTCAGGCCTGGTCTCCCCTCTAAGGCTATGGGTTGAGAGCCTTCTGTGCTGCCTCCAGCATATCACTTGGGCCTCTCCCTTTCTGGGGGCTATATGTCAAGGGCCAATTCCTATCTTGTCTCCTCCTGCCTGCCTCTGGCCTAGATGTATTTCAGAAAACAGTCTTGTTGTCACATAATGGGGCTCTTCTTGTTGAGCTGCTGTGACTGGTTATAGGTTAAAATCAAAAAAGTTTATTAATGCAAGGATCCCCTAGGAGCTGGGACAGGGTCACCAAGCTGGGGTAGGAGCATATGATGAAAAAGAGGCAGGAATAAGTGTAACACAAACCATCAGACTGGGTGGAGAGGAGGTTACATTTTTGACAGGTGGATAAACATCCCAACATTCTGATAAAGTGTATATAATGTGTGCAGTTCCAGTGTAAAAAGATGCTGAATATTCAAGAGACTTTCACATAAACCTGTTTCTAAGGCATATTGAAATTGACCAAGGCATTAGTTTCTAAAGATTCTGGTATAACTGAAACACACTCATTTTCTTTCATCCCATTGTGTCCCAGCCACATTTCCCTCCCTGGCTATATAAAAGGAAGTTGGGCCACCACAAGTGATTGAACTGGATTCTCAGAGGAGAGTGGCAGGCAAGCTGATAAGGGTGGATATTTGAAATTCAAATATGATGATAGAAGTGCTGGTTCTTATCTGAAATAGGAAGCAACACATTAATAGAGGGGATGATGCTGAGGCTTTGAAGGCAGTGCATGGGCATTTGTGGGAAGTTGGAAACCTTATCAGGGTAGGAAGGCATATTATGGATTCACAAAAGTGTGGAGCAAGCAGGGAGCAGCTTATATGTGGAAAGCAATCTTCCTGGAGGGGCTCTTTGAAGTTTGGGAGCTAAAGGAAGGAGGCTGAGCAATCTTTGGGCCCCACAGTGAAGCAACTAAAGACCACAAATGTCAGTGCTTATGAAAGGTCCTACCAAGATCTGCAACACCAGGCAGCAGAGAGCAGAGCAATGAGGAGAGGACATTGAGGAATGGGTTCAGGTTCACACTATTAGATCCTGTAGCAAATGATTTTTAAACTAATATGCAGCTGACCACCAAATGGAGATAACCAAACCACTTCATTCTGTTATTGTGGGTTAGGTGACAATGCATGCCACTTGTTTAGTGTAATACTCAGGAAGTATTAGCTATTTTTATCATAAATGTAAAGGGGAAACTATTTCAGTGAGATTATGTAACCCTTTGAATGCATCCAATTCTGTTGCTTTTTTCCAAGGAGACAAAGGAATTAGGCATGCAGACTTGTGCCCTAACATGAGGTGTGGGATAGGTGTGTGTGGGGGGGAAGTACCCATCTAGGAAGTATCCATCTAGGGAAAGTGTGTCAGGATCTAGGTGGACTGACTAGTCCTCAGCTGTGAAAGGTGGATTGGGATGTAGTTAGGATGAGTACTGTCATAATCTCTTATCCTGCACAAAAACAGAGAGCAATTTTCACCCTCACACGCTGCCATGCTAATAGAGGGTAGTGTGCAGGCATTGAATGCTCAAAGCATGAGCTCTAGGCCTGGGCTTCAAGGAGTGGCCTGTTTGCTTCAGGAGAAATGTGTTTTGATATCTATCTGTATCCTTTCATCAAGATTTCAGCATTCAGAGCTCCCGTCCCCATCTAAACTTCTGAATATTCTTTGTATTTCCTAAGTGGTCTCTAACCCCCCAAACTTTAAGGCTATATACACTTGTTTGTCCTGGAAGTGAGGAGACATCTTGGACAATGTAGAGAGGACTTTTCTTATGGATGGAGTGGTGTATCCTTTAAACCTGTATCTGAAATTATTTTGTTTGATCCTTTTAGACATTTAGACAATAATAATAGAAAACTAGTATGATAATGTAATTTTCCCATCAATTTTGAATGGTATTTTAATTTCTCTTTTATAATGGAGTTAGAACACTTATTTAATTTGTCTAGGATCATATAGCAAGGAGAGATGAATTCACACTGGTGTATTTTAAAATTTCCTCTAGAATATGTGTTTCCATGTGAATTTATATAATATTTATGTCTCTCCACCAAGTGGCACAAAGGTTACTTTTTTTCTTACAAAGTATTTCTCTTTTGTGAGGCTAAAAACAACAATAACAAAAAAACCCCCCAATAAATCCAAATGCCCTAACCAATCAGATTTCAGGAAGGCCGCTGGCCAAATAATGGAGCCACCCATTAAAAGCTGCTTGTCATTTTAGGTGAATATAGAGAATGATACAGTCTCCTGAGGCAGAAACTGAGGTCTGCGAGGACATCCTTTGACAGAAGAGCCCACAGATGATGGTGGTCCACAAAACATACCTTCCTGGTCCCTGAGAGGACAACTGAGGGTGGAGCGCCTGGCCCAGTTGTTAAGAGCTCACTTTTAAAACATCATGCCTATCATTTCCAAGACTCATTTTGAACGATTCTTAGCTCTAGGATTTACATCAATCAAAGCTTTGTATGCATGAGGATGGGGTGGCTTCTTCTCATGAAAGGAGTTGGGAATAAACCTTTTTCATCAAGATTTCAGGGTGCAGTGGTGCACACCTGTAATCACAGTTACTGTGGGTGGGGATGCTAAGGCAGGAGGATCCCAAGTTCAAAGCCAACCTGGGCAGCTTAGCAAGACTCTGTATCAAAATAAAAGACTGGTTGTAGCTTAGTGGTAACGTGCTTGTTTAGTGTATGTGAAGCCCTGCAATCCCCAGTAATTAACTGAGGCTCAGTCCCCAGTATTTGAAAGAAAAAAAAAAAAAAAGTAAGGTAGGGCAAAGTCTTTGCACACTTTCTAGGACAAATACTAACTTCTAGTTTAAATTTTTTAGTTTCCTATTGGTCAAAGGAGTTTCTATTGTTATCAAGTACCACCAGTTTGCTGAAAGGAATCTGCTAAGAAGCTTGATTCAAAGGCCATGGGGGAAATGTGTTTTGATATCTATCTGTATCCTTCCTATACAACTTCATAGTTATATACTCTCTTACAGAGACTTTTCCTTTTGTACTTAAACACAATTCTAATGATTATATGGAAGAAAAATAAGATAGGAACATCTAATAATAAAAAGAGTGAAGTACTAGATCTAGCATTGCTAGGTGTTAAAACATTAACTGTAGTATTAACAAATGCACAAAAGAAATATATGTGGCATATCACAGTGCAAGCTACAGAACATACTTGAGGATATACCCAGATCATACAATGGGGAAAGATGAGGCCTAGTGAAGGTCTAATGTGGAGAAAAGGGGAACAGCCTCATAGGTACAACTGGAAGAGGGAGAGATACAGAGGGAGAGATACAAAGCAACAACAACAAACAAAAAGCAAATATGAAGGTTTTAAAAAGGCTGTGCTCTAAAATCTAATTTATGTATTCTTCTAATTTGTACATCCTTGTGTGCTTTTGTTTTTATTCTTTCTGTTCTCTTCATGATTGAGAAGATTTATAGATCATGACTTGTTCTTCTTTTAATAAAAAAAGTAGTTTTCCAACCTTATTTCAGATTTTCTCATAGCCTTATGCACTGATACACAGTTCTGTAGCCTTCTATGTTAGTATATTTGTCAAGTATGCAAAGAAGTGAATAACAGGATTTGCAATTTTGGTACCACTTGCATTCTGCTGAACTCTGGTCATTTATTTCCTCTTTGGACAAGAAATGAGTGGATATAGAATCAAATGAATCTAGACCTTCTCCTTACAGAAAAGGACTCCCTGGGACCCACAGACCCATTTTGAGTTGTGTCTCATAAAGAACATGTTAATTTGCTTTAGGCGGACTTGATTGTAGCCTCCACTTGCTTTCTTCCAGGGTAAAAGTCAGAATGAACTGTGCTATCTTAGGGCACTTGGCTTGTTGCCTATACACTACTTCCACTTTTGGCCCCTACACTGAACATTATCAAACTTGACTATGTTTGAGAATCAACTATAGATGGTGCTGAAATATAGATGCACTGGCCTCATTCCTAGACTGGGATGAAACAGCCCAACTGGGATGAAACACAAAAATCTGTACCTTTCCCAAGCTCAACAGATTTGTGTGAACAGATTTAGAGACCACTGATGCAGAATCTTCAAGACTTCTCTTGGCCCTTCCATTCTCCCTCCCAACCATAAATATTGATTAAACTTCTATTATATACCAGCACACCATTGGTATGAGGCTGCTGAAACTATATATATTCAGAACTAAATTGTAATGCAATAGTGGGCTAACCAAAACTAAAAGCAATAATAATGTCAATTTTCCCTAAACTAATTTGTCAGTCTCAAGCAATTCCTATAACAATCCCAGTAAGGTATTTTGTAGTCATAGACAACTTTATTCTGAAATTCATAAATTCTATTTTATTTTTAAAATATAATTTGCATTACATAAAGAAAAATATGTTCTGAAATTTATACAAAAAGGTAGAAGCCTTAAAACAGCTATAGGAGTCTTGAAAAAGTAGGAAAAAAAAGTAGGAGGAGCTAGGTGGGGGTGGTGCTTGCCTTTAATCCAGCTTCTAGGGAGGTTGAGATAGGAGGATCCGGATTTCAAGGCCAGTCTGGGCAGCCTGGCAAAGCCCATCCTCCACAAAAAAGTGGGAGGATGACTACACCCAAAATAAAGGCTTACTATATAGCTACAGTAATCAATACAGTATAGTTTTGGCAGGGGAAGAGATACATAGAGCAAGATAGAATGGAGAACCCAGGAATAGATCCATACAAATATGCCCAACTGATTTTTGACAAAAGAAGAATTTTGGAAGAATTTCAATGGAGAAAAAACAGTTTTTAAATAAATGGTGTTAGAATAACTGGACATCCATAGATTAAAAATAATAATAAAAAGAACATTGCTTTAAATCATGTCTTATGCAAAAATTAAATTGAAATTAATCTTGGGCTTAAATGTTAATATAAAATATAAAAACAATACTTTCAGAAAAAATAAAATATATGAGATTGAAGTGTAGTCAAAGAGTTTTTAAACTTGACACCAAAAGCATATTCCACAAAAGAAAAAAACTGGACAAATTATTAGTCTTTTGCTCTGTAAAAGTCTATTATACAATGAAAGATAAGTTACAAATTCAAAGAAAGTATCTGTAAACCACACATCCCAAAATGGACTAGTGTCTAGAATATATAAAGAAATCTATAAACTCAACAATAATTTAAAAAAGAAAACAAACAAAAACTATTAGAAAAAAGGCAAAAGACAGTAGTAGACCTTTTATTACAGATAATATACAAATGGCAAATAAACACATGAAATGATGTGGGGAAATGCAAACTGAAACCACAATAATGTATCTTTACACATGGATAAGAATGATAAAATAAAGTAATAGGAACAACATCAAAAGGTGGTGAGAGTGTGGAGAAAGAGGATTGCTCAGATACTGCTAGTAGGAATGTAAAATAGTATATCCAATCTGGAAAACAGTTTGGTAGTGTCTTATAAAGCTAAATATGCAATTACCTTAAGACTGAGAAATTGCACATTGGCTGTTTATACTGGAGAAATTAAAAATTCATAGTAAATTTATTTGTAATAGTCCCAAACCACTAACAACCCAAGTGAATGGTTAAACAAATAATCTATATTAAAAGAAATGAAATATTGACATACACAATGACTTGGAAAGAATACCAAGGAATTAAGCTGAGTAAGCAAAAACAAGGTAATATAAGTCTGATTCCATTTATATAACATTCTTAAAATGACAAAATTGCAGAAGCAGAGAACAGATTAGTGGTTACTAAAAACCAAGGAGGGTATGGGGTAGAGTGGGCAGAAAGGAGAGGAGGAAAATGATTATCAAAGGGCAAGAGGAAGGTGATAGTAATGATCTGTGTGTTGACTGTGATTGTGTACTAGATACATGAATCTGCTCATGTGATAAAACTGTATAGAATTTAACGTATACACATACTCCTTTTATTGAACTAGGAATTGAACCCAGAGGCACTTAACCACTGAACTACTTCCCCAGCCTTTTTTATTTTTTATTTTGAGATGGGGTCTTGCTAGTTGCTTAGGGCCTTGCTAAATTGCTGAGAATGGCCTCAAACTTACCATCCCCCTGAATTACTGGGATTATAGGCATGCACCCACCATTAGTCTATACACACACTCTTGAGCACAAGTAAAACTGAGAAAATCTGAATAAGATGAATGAATTGTATTTATGTCAGTATCTTGGTTGTGATACCAAATTTTGCATGATGCCATAACTGGGGCAAAGTACATAAAGGTACAGGGAATCATCTAAATTATTTCTTCTAACTGCATGTGAATGTACAATTATTTCAATACAAAAATGTTCACTTAAAAAAAGAAGTCTTCTCAACTCTGTTTTAACCAGGCCATAGATGTTCCCTATGATGATAGGGTGGGTTTTATAGAAAGCTACAGATCCACTGACCAAGAGCAAAAGTGCTCAGTTTTATCAGCTGACTGTATCTGAGTTGCCCATGATTCCTCAGTATCCTATCAATACACTCAGTGCCATCATGTGACACTTGTAGTATTATGTTTCACAAACATTTATTGAGTACTTACAGTTTATCAGTCTGCAGGCCAGGCCTAGGGGATAGAGATGGACATGAATGGGAATTGACATCTCAGGGCCTGCTTCCATGGAGGAGGTAAAATACAAACATACGAAGTAGTACTATAATTAGAGGATTTGATACCCAAGTATGTCAATGTTGCTATAGAAATAAATGTTGTATAAACAAAAGAGAATGGCCTTTCTTCTTCTTTTTAGCCCCACAAGCAATAATAATCCTGATTGAGAGGAAGGTCTTGGATTGGGTATCAAAGCATTCCTCTGAGTGGAAGGGTATGTTAAAAGGGATTGGCAAATTGAATCAGAGAACATAGAAAACTTAAACAGATCGATTTCAAACAATGAAATTGAAGACTCTATCAGAAGCCCACCAGCAAAGAAAACCCCAGAACCAGATAGGTTCTCAGCTGAGTTCTAACAGACATTCAAAGAAGAATTAACACCATCCTCCTCAAATTATTCCATGAAACAGAAAAGGTGGGAACCCTTCCCAACTTATTCTATGAACCTAGTATCAACCTGATACCAAAACCATATAAAAAACACATCAAGGAAAGAAAATTTCAGATCAATATTCCTGATGAATATATATGTAAATATTCTTAATAAAATCCTGGCAAGTTGCATAAAAAATATATTAAAAAGATAATACACCACGATCAAGTGGGGTTCGTCCCAAGGATGCAAATTTGGTTCAATATACGGAAATCAATAAATATAATTCACCATGTCAATAGACTTAAAGACAATAATCACATGATTATCTCAATAGGTGTAGAAAAAACACTTGACAATATACAGCATCCATTCATGTTCAAAACACTGGAAAAATCTATGGATATTAGGAACATATCTCAACATTGTAAAAACTATATATGCTAAACCCAAGGCCAACATCATTTTAAATGGAGAAAAATTGAAAGCATTCCCTCTAAAAACTGGAATAAGGCAGGGATGCCCTCTTTTACCACATCTATTTGACATAGTCCTGGAAACTCTAGCCAGAGCAATTAGACAGGGAAAGAAATTAAAGTGATACAAATAGGAAAAGAAGAGCTCAAACTATCCCTATTTGCCTAATGATATGATTCTTTTTTTTTTTTTTTTTTTTTTTTAAATTTTTTAATATTTATTTTCTAGTTTTCGGCGGATACAACATCTTTGTATGTGGTGCTGAGGATCGAACCCGGGCCGCACGCATGCCAGGCGAGCGCGCTACTGCTTGAGCCACATCCCCAGCCCTAATGATATGATTCTATATTTAGAAAACCCCAAAACTCCACCTGAACACTTCTAGAACTCATGAATTAATTCAGCAAAGAAGCAGGATAAAATTAACTCCCATAAATCAAATGCATTTTTATACATTAACGATGAATCAACCGAAAGAGAAATTAAAAAAACAATATTTTCTAATTTCACAATAGCCTCAAAGAAAATAAATATTTGAGAATCAATCTAATGAAAGAGGTGAAAGACCTCTACAATGAAAACTATAGAACACTTAAGAAAAAAAAAATTGAAGAAGACCTTAGAAGATGGAAAGAACTCACGTGTTCTTAGATAGGCAGAACTGATATTGTCAAAATGGACATACTACCTAAAGCAGTATACAGATTTAATGCAATTCCTATTAAGATACCAGTGATGTTCTTCATAGAAATAGAGAAAGCAGCCATAAAATTGATCTAGAAAAATAAGAGACCCAGAATAACCAAAGCAATCCTCAGTAAGAAAAGTTAAGCAGGAGGCATCACAACATCAGATCTTGAATTATATTACAGAGATGTTAGTAATAAAAATGGCAGGTATTGGCACTAAAACAGACATGAAGATCAATGTTACAGAATAGAAGACACATAGACAAACCCACCTCAGTATGGTTGTTTCATTCTGCACAAAGTCACCATAAACATACATTGGAGAAAAG